GGTTTAATACACAGATCTCTTTTCTCCTACACAAACACAAAGGAAAAGGCTGCAGAACAGTTTTTGGAGACAAGACAATTTAAATCCCTGAAATTAAGAAGCCACAACTTAACATTCACCAAGCTATTTTTTTGTAAATCACGCAGAAAATTACTATTCAAACTTTGCTGGTCAGTTGTTTTTTCCTACATTGTCTTTGCTTTTATTTTCTTTCCACACTGTCATTATGCTCTCAGAATAAATACGACAGACATGAATACTAACAAGGGACACAGGAGTTGGTCTAAAATATCTCAGCCACTACATCAGCTTATCAATACCTGCCACAACATACACCCCAGGCACAGCACGGAAAGAAAAGCTCCAAGACAAGAACCTGGGATTTTACTGACAATTTTTCTTTACCTTCACGTTTTATAAACCAACAAGCAACACAGCCAGAGTATTTTAAAAATGCCTGTCTTCATTTCTGATAGTTTCAACATTTCTCCTGCGTGTTTTGCCCAAAAAGGCAAAATATAAAATCTATACATGTAAATCTCGTGGCTCATCCAAGCTAAGCTTATCAAACAGATGAATAATCAGTCCTTGCCACAGAGCCAGTACCTCCTGCCTTGACAAATTCCCACACAACAGCACACGATCCTTTAAACAAACACCAAAAAAAAAAAAGTGTTCTAAGATACGCCCATGGCTAAGAAATGGATTTATTTTTCAAGGAAAAATGGCTTGTTTGACTGGAGCCCAGGGTGCAAGGAGCAGTGTGGCACAGGGATATTTAAGGTTCCTTTCTCTCCCTTTCAGACGATGATGAGCATGAATGGATCCTTCGGACCTGCCGGAAAGCCTGGGATTTAACAGCTGAGGAGGAACCAAAACCATCACACAGCCTCTCCTAGACAATATTCCAGCAAAGCAGGTAATCTGATTCACAATAAATGCAATTTGTCCTCGTGGATTTGTCTCACCCTTTCCCTCGACAGGAATATAATCTTTCTGTCATCTTTGTCAGCTCAAAGAAAAATGGAAATAATCATTTAATCAGTCATGCTGAGCAAAAGCCACGGCAAAAAAGCCGACTGTACTCACAATAATATTCCTGAGAGGTGTGCAGTGTAGTATGTATAAACATTATTAAGCCTGAAAACAATTTGTTAAAAAGAGTGCCTCGGATTCGGTGTTGAAGTCATTCAAATCCATCTTAATCAACATTATTTTCCCAGATTTTAGTTAGCTGTCCTGGTGAATTCCTTTCCTCTCTTTTTGCTCAGTACTTTGATATTGATTGATCATTGTAATAATGTACACCAGAGGTATTCTTTAATGACGGGTTTGCTAACTAGGAAATTATATCCATTTACTACGAACGTTTGTTGAACTCTCCTGAAGCCAGAGTTTAACAAAATAATAAAAGAGGAAAACTGGGTGGGTTGCTGCTTGATTAGTAAGCCAGAAAGTATTTAAAAATAAAATAAAATGGAATTACATCATTTTCTGGATGTAAGTGCCAGCACTTCTACTTGCATTAACTTTATTTATTACACAAATAAGACATTTACAAAGCACAACATTAAAAGTATGTAACAAAACAGACATTGGTTTTACAAAAAGTGCTTACAATTTTGTTTTACTTTTTTAAAATAAATATTAGTCTTGACTGTCCACTCATTCAGAGAAAAAATTTTTTAACCATTGTAGCCAAGACATGCAGAATTGCAACATGCTACAACAAAATGATTGGCAGATGAAATAAAACTGGTGTTTAGTTGGCATCCTACAGATAAATCACTGATAGTAGTGCAGGATTGGTTCCCACTCCCTGTCCCAACGAGTGAGTTCTGTAAGCACCTTTAGCTCGGGCATTGGGCTAACCAGCATGAGCCAGGAAAAACCACTGGTGATAAAAGCTGAAACCATCCCACTCCCAGAGCCAAGCTCTGTTAGTCACCTTATTAAACTGGAGTGAAGAGCCTTTCACTGGCTGTCTTCAGTGGATTCTGTCTGCAAAAGGGTTTGTAAATAGCAACTGGAAAAGTTTAGTGCGTGGAGTCTGCATTGCTGCACCAGAACCCATCTGGCAATTACTGAATAAACTAAGAAAATGAGAATGACTTTAATTTTATTTTTTTTTAATCCACAGACAGGAGATGAATGCAAATGACCTGAGATAAGGTTTGGTTCAGTGGCAACAGTCAGTGTGAAATATGTTGTGAAACAATGTATTGAATAAATTAGAAGATTTCTTACATTCTTGGTACAGTTGAGTATTTTCCATACACATAATTAGCTCTAAAACTGCACAAGCTGAATTGCTTCCAGTTTTTGCAAACAATTTGGGCTTAATATAAACAGAGCCTGATTTCTGAATTAGCAAAGCTGCTCCTGGCTACTTATGGGGGGAAGTGCCCCAAGCACAGTCTGTGGTGAGCCCACATCCCTGGAGAGAAACACCAACATCCCCTCGGCCCTGCCATGGCATTGCTTACAGACCCTTGGATACCCAGGACATTTCCCAAGTGGGGTTTTTCTGATCGAGTTGGTATTTAGCAAATACATATTTCATAGTTTCCCTTTCACTGCATTGCCAAGACAGAAGGGAGAAACACATCAAACCCTTTTCTCCCTCAACAGAACAGTTGTGGCAATCTCAGAGACTGTGGGATGTCAGGGCAAGTTACAGCCTGAATCTCTCCTTCTGTGTCAAATGGAATAACTACCCATTCCTTTATGGCACTAATTCCACAACTAAATGGTCATTAGGATGTGCAAGCACAAATGGAGAACAAAGTCAGGCCCTGGTGACCCCCCCCGGCCCCCACGAGCATCTCAAGGCTGACACAGCAACCACCTCAACCTGTGATGACAAACACTCACCAACAGCCAGCCAAGGGAGCACTCATCCTTCCCTCATTCTCTGAAAAGGACAAAAAGGATGCACGTGGTGCACCTGCTGACTGTCCCCTCCTCAGGGGACACCTCTGCAGAGGTGGCTCCAGTCAGATCAGGCATGTGGCAGCACCTTGTCACTGGTCACACTCTGGAAATGGTCACTCACACATCTGGAGGTGACAATAACACTTTGTGGACTTAATTCCCCTCTCTCCTTTCTAATGTTACTTTGAACTGGGACTAGAGCTGCTGGCTGCAGTTTGACACGTACTGGCCCAGCTGTCCGAGGTAGTGCCATCACTCTCAGTGCACAGACACACAGGAGGGTGTGCGTGGGTGTTTGTGTGTGTGGAGTTGCTCCAACCAATATCAAAGTGTGTTGTACTCAGCTGCTTCTCAAGCCAAGAGGTGCCAGTGGCCCCCTCAGCAGGCATCCCCATCTCCCCACGCTGCTCTCAGGGTGTTCCTGGTGGCTCAGTGCAGCCGTGTCTGGCTGCTGGTGTCACACAGAGTTCGGGGACACAGGCAGGAGAAGGCTCCCCACGTGTGCAGTGTGGGCTGGCCAGAGCTGTGGGATGGTTCCCACCTGGATTGATCCAGGATCCCCCGGAGAGGAGAACACGTGTATCTACAGTTCCCATTAAAAACGAGTTATGTAACAGATGGATTCCCATCTCCTGCTCCTGGGGCACGGCTCAGTCACATCCCTCACTGGCTGTGGCTCAGGGGAGGCTTTCACATTCTTGGAAGAGCGGCCTCACAGACACTTCACAGCAGGACAGACCCATGTGCTTGCGTGGAGAGAGGTTTTGTCACAGACCTGCTCCTGGCTCGGTGCAAACTGAGAAGGGCTGGCAGAGGTCTCTTGTTTTGTTTCATTATTACCATCAACGAAGGATGGGATGGTTTTGGAGTCCTTTTCCTGACTTGGGGCCAGACTGCTGAGCACTTCCTGTGAGCCCAGCCATTCTCCTGGGATGCACTCTCATCCCAGGGCCTGGGACAGCCCAACCCCAGCAAGGGAGACCAGGAGGGCAGAGGGGATCAGAGCCAGGCTGCCAGACTAAGGAAGATGCCATCCCTTTGCTGTCCATTTGGCTAGTGATGGTTTCTGCTGGCCTTACTGTGACTTTCACCTTTTTAACTGGGCTCCAGTTTCTACCCAACTCTTCCCACTGACTGAACTTGAGTCCACAGCTGGGCAGAACATTTCTACACCTTTATGGCCACCTTCCATCGAGCATTTCCCAGTCCCAGAGTATGGATTGTCTGAGAGTTTTCTGTAGGTACATTCTGAAATCACCCATTTGTGATCCAATATGACTCCAAGGAAATAAAGTAGCTTGTTAATAAAGAACGAGAGTAAAAAACTTTAAAAAAAAAAAAAAGATTTGGCAGATGGCTGTGAGAGGAGAGAGATACTCAGTGTTCTAAGAACAAGTCAGCAATCAAAAACTTCAGGGTGCTAAACCTGGCTCTGCCACCAACCCTCATGGTTCCTCTCAGTTTAGGACATCTCTGCTTCCCCTCCTATAAAACGGGGGGAAAAACACTAAGATTTACTTACCTTTGAGTGATCAAAGGACATGTGATTCTAAAGCACTTTGAGGAGGAAGAAAAACTGCCTATTTCCAGCTGGCATCATGTTTTCCACTCAGTGGAGTCTCAGCTACCTGCGAGTTTGGCTCAGGAAGGTCTGTCTATACATCGAGTTGCTGAGCCAAAAAGCCAATTTCAGATTTCGCACAAGCGAGTGGAAAAAAGGAGGGATGTCCAGGAACTGCTTCACTGGTGCAAGAAGAGAATCAGGCCAAACCATGAAAATTCCTCCTTCCTTTGTGTCCAGAGGCGATCATCGACCCCCCTGAGACTCGGCGTGTTCTGGGCTGTTCATATTCCCGTGGGTTTGGGAGCAAGACTTGCAAGCACAGCAGAGTCACCAGTTTTGACTGTGTCTGGCACTGCCTTGGAGAGACTCACGGTCATTCTACAAGTCCACAAGAAACAAGTGTAAAATGTAACTGTGCACTCAACACACACATACACAGAGTGTCGCTGGAGGAGTCGGAGCGGGCGTGAGGTGCTGCTCAATGGGAGGAGCTGAGAGTGCTGGGGCTGAGCTGCTCCCGCAGGGCCGGGCGCTGTCAGCGGCTCAGGGGCGGCAGCGGGGCTGGCAGGGCCACGGGCAGCTGAGGAAGAGCCCTCGCAGTCAGTACTGGAAGAGGATGACCTGGGGGGGAAAGGGAAGCGTCAGAGGCACAGCCCTGGCCATGGCCCTGTGCTGCAGGGAGCAGCAGAACGGGCTCTGCCAGGGCAGCCACCTCCTGGCAGGAAAACCCTCTCTGGAAATGTTCTCTGCCCAGGAGCTGCCAGCCCTGCCCAGGGAAGGAGCCACCACTGAGCAGCCCAGGTGGGAGGTGACAGGAGAAATGCACCACACCTTGGGCTGTGGAACCAAACGCACCCGGGCAGCACCCCAAAAACGGCACTTCATTCATCTGTTCCCTGATACAGCAGCTACCAAGAAGGACAAAGGCCATGCCCAGCAATCCTGAGTGCCCACCTCACTCAGTGGCCAGCACGAGCTGCCCTCAAACACTGCACTGTCCAGGGGAAGCAGCTGCTGGGCTGCTCACCTCTCACCAGCCACTGCTCTGGGCACCCCCAGAGGAGGGGGGGGCTGCCCCACAAGCAGAGGGAAACACACACTCAGCGTTGAAATGTGTTTTCCCAGGATCTCAGCTATCTCTGCTTTTAAAAATTTTTGGATGTGGGGGAAAAAAAAAAAAAAAAAAAGCTACTTCAGTTTTCAGGAATTCAACATGCAAGAGATTGTTTAGAAAAGGAGCTGGTTGGGGGGCAGCTCCGTGTCCTGAGAACCCTGTTCTGCAACAGCTGTGAGCCAGTAATTGCATTTAAATCAGGAGCTGCTTGCTGCAGTGAAGCCTCCCTAACAACAGCACCAGGACTGTATAATATTGTCTGAAAACTCTGCAGCTTGCTGGGCACATATGACAAAATGGTAGAATTTAGACTGAAAAGGTATCTTTGCTATGCCCCTGCTTCTGCCCACAGAAACAGAGCTCAATAAGCTGCTGCACTGAGAAGAGAGAGATCTGAAAAGAGAGGTGCTGAGAACTTCTAACAGTAAAGACAAAAGCTAAAACCACTCTGAGTTGCCAAAGGCTCGGTGTTCCCTCAGAAGGAACTCACTGAAACCGGGGTCCTAAATAAAATCTTCCAAACCTAAGCATGTCTGAGAACTCTTGCCCCAATAAGCTGTGTGTTAGAACAGATACTGTAAGAGCTGAACAGAAAAATATCAGCAAGCAATATTGTCTCCTGGCCAGACATTGTGAAATAACATTCCTGCTTCAGATATTGTAACAGCCAGTTGTTATTATTTTTAAGCAATACTGCAACCCACAAGAAATGAATCTTTTTTGTTAACTCGTGGAAAACTGGGAAGTTAGCACATGCCAGAGGTCCTCCCTGCTCTGCTGCTCACACTGACCACATGTGCAGGTGCCTGAGGAATGGAACAGACAGAGCTCAGGGCAGGGGAAACCAGGGAGGATCCAGGCAGGAGGATCCAGGCAGGAGGATGTGAGAGCCCTCAGTGGATGCAGGCACAGAGTCCCAGCAGGTCACAACAGTGAGGGAAAACACAGTGATGTCATTTTGACCAATAGTGGGTACATCAACCTTAGGGCCCCCAAAACTAAGGGAAGACACATGGGTGGGTGGCAGCTGTGGAGGTCATGGAGAAGCAGTGACACTGACAGGAGGTGGCAATGATGTTACACACAAATCTTTGCTACAGTGAGGGTTGGCCCCAGAGCCTGAAGCAGGGACTACATTTACCTTCTCCCCCCTATTAGACAGTGGTCCTTCCATGTCTGCTTTGAGGTGCACTGGTGGAGCAGTGTAGGGAAGTCTACAGTGCACTTGTCCACACTGTACCTGACCTGTGGATGAGAAGGGGCTTCAGCCTCTGTTACTACAAACAACACAGCCCACAGCCCATAGCCCACAGCACCACAGCACCACAGCCCACAGCACCACAGCACCACAGCCTTCCTGAAGGATCAGCAGGGAGCAGGCAGGGCTGGGGCACAGCCCTGACCTCAGGGGGAGAAACCTCTCAAGAACCACAGAGCCAAAACCTCTGTCCAGGCATGACCAAAGCTGCCCATCACTCACAAATCATTCACTGGGAACAGAGAAAGCAACTCTGAGCAGGAAGGAGACCACTGACCACCAAGCCCTCCCCAAGGGGCACGCTCACAGCTCTTCTCCATGACACAGAGCACAGGAGGGCCGAGGAGCAGGCAGTGAAACCCAGGCACTGACTTTGCTGGGGATGAGTTAATCCCAAGGGCAAAGCTGATCAGACACGAGGAGGAGGAGCAGCAGCAGGGGCACCATCCCCGCACCCGCAGCACCGGGAGGGTTTTGCCCCTGCCCAGCCCTGTCCCAGCCCTGCCCCAGCCCTGCCCCAGCCCTGTCCCAGCCCTGCCCCAGCCCTGTCCCAGCCCTGTCCCAGCCCTGTCCCAGCCCTGCCCCAGCCCTGCCATCTCTTACTTTCGATGTATCCGTGCAGCGTCACCATCCGGGCCCGCTCGGGGCTGCTGAAGGGCGAGTAGTGGATGTCATCGGACAGCGAGGAGGGGATGCGGGACGGGGGCGCTCCCGAGGGCGGCACCGTGTGCTGCGGGGTGTGTTTTTTATGGCGAGCTCTGCAGTTTTGAAACCAAACCTGAAAAGAAAGCAGCGAGTGCTGTAACAGCTGAGAGACAATTGGGTTAAAATGTGGTCCCTTCACCAGGGTCCTTGGATGGGTGTTTCTTCCAAGTTTTTACCAAAGGAATGAAAAGCAGCAGGTATGAGATCTCTGATCATATCTCACTGCTTCTAATTAAAGGAGTAGTTTGGGAATTCCATCCTAGAGTTAAAACATGTATAGAAAAGGATTTTTTTATGCTAAAGAGGTGATCTGTTTCTTATGCTTTAATTTCTTAAAGATAGCTGTGAGTTAAAACCTTCTCCAAGACTCAGTGAAGATCAGGTCTCCAAGGCAGAGCACACTGGACCATAGAGAAGGAAACAGTCTAAGCATTTGACAAATTGTTTCCTGTTCAAAGTGCCTTTAAAAAACATCCACATAAAAAATCACCCGGTGTGCAGCCTGCTTGATCTTTAGCTAAATGAAAAATCTCAATAACAGAGGCTCAAGCCAGATTTTCACACACAAAATTTAAAAGTGTCATTGGCAAAACAATCTCGGATGAAAGCTCCAAATGTATTTTAACCACTCGTGTTTTTATTGTATGCAGAATGTATGTGAGCAGAACGTTACAGTGATGAGTACAAACGTCACCAAGAGGCAGAGCTGGGCTGTGTGGGAGCTGGGAGCTGCAGAGGGGACACTGCTCAGTCCCCAGGCACCACCCGCCCTCCCCTCCCACACCAGGGGTGGGGACTTCCCTGCCTCAGTGTCCCCTGGAGCTGCAAAACCCCTTTTTCTTTAAACTTCTCCATGCCAATGTCTCCTGACTCTGCCTCTGTGGCAGGGGCGGCTGCCGAGGGAGCTCCCACACTCCAGCAGCAGCTGGGACAGAGCACAGCTCCAGGACCTGCTGCTAACAGCAGCTTTCCCACCCAGTGATTTACTGTGGATGGCTGGGGCTCTTGGGGTTTTGATTCATTGCATCATGAGAGGGGAAAACAAATAGAAAACCCACGAGCGAGACAGAGAAGGAACCGGCGCTGGCCTCGCTGTGGGGGCAGAGGAGCCGGCACCAGGGAGGCAGCTCAGAGCTGCTGGATGGATGCTGAGGAGCCACGGGCTGTGAGTGTGAGCCCTGGCTGGTGCCAGCCTCCAGGTGCCCCTGCCTGCCCTGCCTGCCCTGCTCAGCCCATGGTGGCCACCCCTGCCCATCCCTGCCTCACCTGAATGACTCTGCGGCTCAGCCCCGTCATGTCCGCCAGCTTCTGCAGCGTTTGTGCGTCGGGGTTGTTGTCCTGAGCAAACTGTGCCTGCATCACCTGTGGGGAGAGGAGAGGAGAGCAGAGCAGAGAGGGGCTCGGGTGAGGCTGGGGAGCCCCGGCCCCCGCAGCCCCCTGGCCCTCCCGCCCTACCTGCAGCTGCTCGGCCGTGAAGGAGGTGCGGGCTCTCTTGGCTGGCTTGGGCTGGCTGTCCTGCTCCGAGGGCACAGCCCCCTCCAGCGTGATCCCATTGCCTGCAGGAGAGAACCCTCTGAGGCACAGGGCAGAAGCCTCCCTGCCCCACCACGTGCAGCAGCTGCTGCTCTGGGGGACTCCACACCTGGTGGCACCACAGCGTGGGACACCCAGAGCATCCCCTTAACAGGAGGACAACAGCCCTGGCACCACAGCATGGGACACCCAGAGCATCCCCTCAACAGGGGGACAACAGCCCTGGCACCACAGCGTGGGACACCCAGAGCATCCCCTTAACAGGGGGACAACAGCCCTGGCATCACAGCCTGGCACAGCCAGAGCACCTCCTGCTGCAGTGGGAGCTGTAGGAGTGGAGCCAGCACGGCCACCCAGGAGCTGCCCTGGGCTGCTGAGCCCCTCCACACACAGGGAAGGAGAAACAACCCTTCCCCAAGAGTTTACTGTGGAATTAAGAAAAATGCAGCAAGTGGTGGAAGCCACAGGGAATAAGGGGAGACAGCAGCAGGAAGAGGTCAAGGTGGTGTGTGAGGGAAGCACTGATGTCCCTCTGGCCCTGACTCCTGGTCACCACTTGGCCACATTCTCCAGGGAGTGGCTGGGAAGGGACCCTGTCTCTGCCAGGCTCACCCACATCCATCACTGCTGCCCCTTGCTGCCCCCTGTGACGCCATTTTCCCTCGTGGGCGCTGCCTCCATCAGTCCTTTCATTTGCTCAGAGCGTTTCAACGGGCTCTTTGCTCCTTTCCCCAGCCCCAAACTGTCCCAGCACCCTCGCCTTCCTCTTCCTCCTGGGTCCCAGAGCAGCAGCAGGAGCAGCACCATCCCCAGGGCCTTGTGGTGGCCATGCATGAGCAGCAGCCACACTAAGGGGGACACTCCTGGGGACACTCCAGGGGACACTGACCTCCCCCTTGCCCAGCCCCGTGTTGGGGTGAGCCCAGCCGTGCTCTTGCTGCTGTGCAGCCTCAGAGAGGAGCCCAGAGCCTGGCTCCTGCCAGGGCCCTGCTGCATCCCGTGCCAGCCTGGCTGCTCGGGCAGGGTGGGTGAAGCCCCTCTGAGGGAGGGCAGCGAGCAGGGCTGGGCTCACCCCACTCCCAGGATGCGCCTGCACGAGCTGGACCAGGCTGTGATTGTCTTGGCTTGAGTTGAAGGACTTTCTCATATAGTTTGACTTGTTCTTTTCGGATGATGAATGGGACTCTGACTTCAGCAACATCTGTTTATTTTTCTTGTATGTAAAACCTCATGTGCAGAAGAAATTGCTGGGTAATTACTGGAGGGGGGAGTGTGGCCCTGCAACTCCACAGCAACTACAGCTCTCCAAAGTGATCCCACCCCCTTCTCAAGACCCCTTGGACACAGGTAGTGACACCTGACACTCACCAGGTGCCCCAGCACTTCCCAACACTGGTGCTCAGCCCACACCAGCAGGTTGTTCTGAGCAGCAGCAGCAAACCCACCATCCCAGCCCTCAGCCAGGGCAGCAGCTCTGCAGGACTCCCCAGTGCCAGGCCCTGCTGTCCTCACAGCATTCTGTTCCCCCAGGACACGTGGCTTCTCCCCCTCCATCCTTGCTCCCCATCACCTCCCTCATGCCCTGCAGCAGCTGACCAGATGGACCAACACGTCACAAGCCACATCCTGAGCCAGGACCCTCCCAGCCCAACTGGGCACTCTGTTTCCATCCTCTTTCTCAAACACAGTAAACTGAACCATATTATTTTCCTGTCAGGTTGTTAATGGTTTCCACATGCTGCATGGGCTGGGACATGGTGTGTCACTCCCTGTGCCCACCATGTGCTGAAGCACTTCCCACCACAGCACAGGCCCTGGCACTGCCCGGCCTCCCTGAGCACCACTCTGGAGTAAGCCCACAAATCTGTTCCTCTGAGCATCTCTCTGGGCACTGCCATGCAGGAGGCTGGGGAAGGGACAGGAGCTGCAGTGCTGTGACCCAGTGTCCCCAGCTCAGCTGGCTGTGGCACAGCACTGTCCAGCGGGGAGTGGCACAACCCCACATGGGCAGGGCGGGTGGAAAATGATGGGAAGGTTTTGTCCAACCACCAATCCCACCTTCTCCATTAATGACTCACAGCCTCAAATCCCAGTGGGTTCCTCACGCTCTGCACTCCAGGCTGTGCAGGACCAGGCACTGGTCCCTGGCATTGCCCAGGGCACACAGGTCTGCCACAAGCCGCAGGTGCTGCCAGCACATTGGCCACCCCACGAGCCCTCTGCCAGCACAGGGCCTTGTGCTCAAGCCCCCCAGGACCACCCATCACCCTTTTTGGAACGCTGGAACCCTCCCCAACCCCCTGTGCTGAGGGTGAGCCTGGGGCACGGCTCCGTACCGTTCTCCGCCGCGCGCTTCAGGTTCTCGATCATGGTGTCGTAGTGGATCCGGCACAGCACCTTCTCCTCCACCAGGCCGAACTCCTCGCCCGTGGAGAGCTGCCTCTTGCAGGAGAAGCAGGCGAAGCAGGCCAGGTGGTAGGCATTGCCCCGCGCCCGCCGCACCCAGTCGCTGGCGTAGATCTGCCGGCCACAGCGGGCACACTTGGTACCGAACCGGCTGCGGGGAGAAGAGATGGGTGAGGGCAGGGGAGGAAAGGCAGGGAGGGCAGGAAGGGGAGGACAAGCAGGGGAAGGCAGGCAAGGGAGGGCAGCAGCATCAGGGCGGGGTGCAGGTGCTGCTGCCGACCCCATTGCTCACCCCGACACCCCAAGTCCCACAGCACCTGTGCATGCAGAGATGCAGTGGGGCCGCCCCAGCAGTGCCCGTGCCCTGGCAGTGGCAGCAGTGTGGGAAGCAGTGGGTGTAACTCACTGCAGCCCTGTGAATCAGCTTCCCAGCCCGTGGGTTTTTTATTTTGATAACAGCCAGTGTGACACTGGGATGGAAACTGTGTCAGAGCTGGTTCTCTCCCGCTGCCATAAATCAAACCATGTGTGTTCTCCTCACACGTACAGGCGCACACATCTGCTTTTTCCCCCGTGGAGGAGGTCTCCTCACTGTGAGAGGATGATGACTGTGCTGGAGTGAGCTATGCTGGAAGGTAGCTCAGCACAGTCAAGAGGCAACAAGACAGCCAGGATCCTCTCACCAGGTGATTGTGTGAAAACCCCCATTCCTGTCAGGATGCTGACAGGAGGGCAGGTGATTCACAGGGAGCAGCAGATGTGGCCCCCATGGCCCTGAACCCCCAAGTCAGTGTCTGACATGAGGTGCCAGCCAGGTTCGATATCTGCATTTTCAGTTCTACTGCTGCTTGAAATAATAAATGCAATGAACAGCAGCAGGAGCATCAGGAGAGAAGGGAGAATCTCCTCTGCCACCCGAGAAGTGGCACTGGCTCCAACAGAGTCGATGCACTTCCCCACGCAGCTCCAGCACTGCCACTGTCACCTCAGGCTCCCGAGGGCTCCTGCCAGCCCCTCACCACAGTGGGAAGCAGAGGCACAGGCAGCCCTGCCCGGGCAGCTCCAGCATCTCTCAGTGCAGGCACAAAACACCGACAAGGAACGACCACAGCAAGCGACAGGAGAGACCTCAGAGCACAAACCCTTCAGTTCAGTGGCCAGAGCAGCCCCAAGCTCTGCACACAGGCAGAGACAGAGCCCAGGCCACCAGGGCCAGTGTGCTGCCCCTGCCTGACCCCACACCGAGGAACTGCTGCCCACCATGGGCCCAGCAAGATGTGGAAATACTGTCCTGTGCTGGGATTACTAATAGCAAAACTATTTGGGAGGAAAAGAAGGGTCTAAATTTTTCAGCCTGACCATAGCTGACCAAAAAGAAGAAAAAAAAAAAAAGAGGACATTTCTGTGCTGAAATTATACAGAGACTTAGCTAAGAGACTTCACTAATTTACTTCAGATGGGAACATTGTAAACTGACTTTGTGCCAGCTCGTTTATATAAACGCACAAACAAAAGAACTGTATTAATTTTTTATTTAGAAATAAAGATCATTCCTGTAAATTGAATTACTTTGAACAATGTGCTATGTAAACAGTGGTACTTGCTGAGCAGTATCAGGCGAGGGGCAGGCACACGGAGCTAATGGCACGTGGTGATCGCCGCTCCCCGCTCCAACCCCAGCCAGGGGAGCACAGCACGGCCAGGGGAAACTGAGGCACCACTCAGAAAAGGCCACACATCCCCGTCACACATCAGCTGGGCTCTGGGGAGACACCCAGGCATCTCCTGAGGAGCGGGCAGGACCCCCAGGCTGGCAGCAGTGCCCAGGGAGCCGGACAGGGTTTGCTGAAAGGCGCAGGGGCTCGTGGCCGTGGCAGCAGCACAGGCAGAGGCTGATGCCCCTGTCCCTGTCCCTGTCCCTGCCCTGCAGGGCCATGCCATGAGCAGAACCTGCAGAGAGGCTGAGGCTCAGCACAGCCGGGCACGGGGCTGCACAGCCTGCAGCAGCAGCAGCAGCAGCGGCACTGCCGCTGTGCCTGCGGCTCTCGGCCAACTCCCGTCTGCGGCACTGCTGCAGCCAGCACAGACAGGGCTGGGGCCAGCACCAGCACCCACTGCCACCCCACAGAGCTGACACTGAGGGACCACCACTGCCAGGGACACAGCAACGGGGAGAGAAATGCCTGCAAGAAATCTGTCCCGACCATCAGCAGTGCAAATAACAGCTCAAACACAACACAGGATTTAGCTCACTGAGCTTGCAGGGCGGTGAGGGCCCTAAGAGCCCCAGGAAAGGGGCTCCACAGGACTCCTGCCACCTGCCTAGCAGGGACAGGGATGGGCATGGGAACAGGGCCACACGGTAGCAAGAGACACATAGCCAGAGGATTTGTCCAAGCCCAGAATGGTGGCACAAACTGGAGCATCACCAAACGCCAGCAGAGCCATGGGCTCATGCCCTGCGTGCATGGTTTGTGGTCAGGTGAGCAGATGCTCTCCCCAAAGGTTAACTCTGGGAGACAGAAACTGACAGCAACGTTACCAGGGAAGACTCATCCAGAGAGATTCATCCCAGGGAGACTCATCCCAGGAAGACTCATCCCAGGAAGACTCATCCCACCTCCCCCAGGGCAGCCGCATCATCTGGGGCGCAGGAAGAGCAGAGGCGGGAGGACGCCCCTGGTGCATCCTGTCCCTCCCACGCCACTTGTCCCCAGGTGCCACAGCTCCCTCAGCCCTCCTGTCCATCCCTGCCTGTGGGGACAGGGCAAGGGGCACCCAGCCCCAGAGCCACGCACAGCTCAAGCATCCCTGTCCCCTCCTGGGTCCTGTCCCCTCCTGTCGGAAGCCTCTGGCACAGCCCTCAGAGCCAGCTGCAGCTCACATCTGCCCAGTCCCTCAGCAGAGCAGCAGCGGTGCCTCAGCGAGGACCTTCATGCTGTGCCACTGCAATGCCTGAGCTGGAGCATCATCCTGGAGGGACACAACCTCTGGGATGAAGGCCACCTGAGCCACGGCCAGGCCAGGGACCCCAGGGTCACCTGCCTGCAGCCTGCCCACCAAGGGCACAGCAGGAATCACACCAGGATCACGCCGGGCCTCTGGACAACTGGAGCCCTGGGAGCTTGGCTGTGAGCAGTCCTTGCATGGCTGGGAACACAGTGTTCTGCTCAATGAGCTCCAATTCTAATTTGGTTCTCCTTGGAGCGCTGGAGCCTTAGATGCCAAATGTAATTATTTGACAAGACACAGGAAACAGCAGCATTTGCTTAAAAATGTACATGAGGCCACGGAGTCACGGCAGAGCCAGCACCTACAGAGCCCCTCACGAGGACAGAGAAGGGACACTTGCACAGAGCGGGCCTAACTACACTCCCCGTGGGCAGTGGGGCTGTGACATGACAGCCCCGTGCCTGACAGCCTTCATCCTCATCGTCCCCCAGCAGCCCCGGTGTCGGAGGAATGCAGAGCATCCGTGTGACCCGTGCAGAGCATCTCACTGTCCCTTCCCTCTGCCTTGGCTCCAGGGACCACATGCCTTAGGATGGGGTTTCTGCTTTGCTTTAAAAAAAAAAACCAAAAAACCCACACATTTAATTTGCCTCAAATAATAAATAAAATTTTCTAAATCCATCCCGAGGATCAGGTTTAGCCCGTGCCACGCACCGGGTTCCACTGGCTGGAGTCAGCAAGATGCCGCCAGGATGCTCCCAGGGCTGGGTGGCTGCAGGAGGTCACCGAGAGAATGGACAGCGGGGCGAGTTTGCCGGGGTAGCGGGAGGGATCCCAGCCCTGCCGAGCGGCTCCCGGCCGCACACCGGCACCGACGGCGGTGGCTGAGCCCGGCGGGTTCTGCCGCGGGAGGCGGCGGGAGCGACCCCCGCCCAGCACCCCGAGCACCGCAGCGGGGCCGGCCCGGGGTTCGGCGGGGGCTGCATTGATCCCCGCGGGCTCGGGGGCAGCGAGGCAGCTCCGCACCCGCCGGGCTCCGAGCGCTGCCGCCGCCGCCGCTCAGAGATTCACCAAAATAAAATTTAAAAATCTCTCCAAACCCCCACCTTTCAATGGAAAAGGAAAGTTCGGAGCGCGGGCTGGGAGCCCCCGCGCCCCCCGAACGGGTGCCGCAGGAACCGGCAGCGTCGTGCGGCGGCTTCCGCGATTTTCGTTTTATTTCCCTTGGTCCCGCCGGTACCAGCGGGCAGAGCTTGGCTGCTCCCAGCGGGGAAGGGGCTCGGAGCTTCTCGGACGGGGAAAATCGCAAAACAGATTTATTTCAACATTATTATTTGCCATATTTGCTCAAAGGTCATTTCGAGATTCCGGCGCTACTTTAAAACCGCCTTTGGAAAGGTACGCTCTCAAAAACAAACGAAAAAGAAACCAAACATGAACGGCACCAGAACGGCGATAAATGAATGAAAACGCTCAAAGTGCTCCAAAACAGCACCGCGGCCCCGGGACCCCCTTGTGCCTTTCTGTGCTGAGTGGGGGAAATTTCGCTGAAATCACCGAAAATTGCGGTTTGAAAATAATAACAATAATAACAGTAATAATAGTAATAACAACAACAACAAAACCCATCACAGGGCAAGACGCAGAGCTCCGCAGCCTCGGGACCGACCCGGTTCTCCGAACCCCGCACTGCCGGTGGCACCGCACCGAGCCCGGCGGAGGCAGGGGCTGAGCTGCGGAAAATCGGGCAATCGCAGACCCTTCAACAAAAAACACCGGGGGAATCTCTGAGGGGCCCCCCGAGCTCCCCTGCCCGCTGTCGTCGGGGCAGCCCCGAGCTCTGCCGCGGCCGGAGGATGCTCCGAGCCCCCCGCGCCCCGCCGAGGTCATTCCCATTTCCTGCCCGCCATTCCTCTTCCTCCCGGGTCAAACACCATTCCCTCATCCTGGTAGGATGGGGAAAATCAGAGCGGGGGTTCCAATGTTTGGTTAAACCCCGGCGAGGAGCTCAAAATATTCAGTCCCCTCGTGCGAGTCAAACTGGGGGGAAATTAGCGGTTTAAGGTTTAGAACAGAAAGCCTCTCGAAGCCAGAACATCCTCCCTGCGGGACAGGCTGTCCCGGGCGTGCGGGTCCGGACCGAGCCCCGGGGCCGCCGCCGAGCCCCGCCGGCCGCAGCTGCCGCCCGCCGTTCGTTTCCGTTCCGTAACGCGCTCCCGCCGCGGGCGCTCCGGCCATTGCGGGCCCACAGCGCTGACAGGGGCTCCCCGAAAGCTGGGCACCGCAGGCTGGCAGCGCCTATTTCCCCTCCGGCAGGAGCCGGGACGAGGCCGTTCGAGCCCCTTTTCCCCGCCGCGGGGAGCCGGGCGCTGTGGCCGCCGAGCCGGGAGGAGCAGGGGCCCGGGGCGGCCCGCACAGCCCGGCCAGAGGGCAGGAATCCCTCCGGGCGGTTGTGCAGTTGCACCCCAAACTCCCTTCCTTCTTTTCTCCCCGTTTCCCGAGGCTCATCTCCCACCCGGCTGCTCCAGGGAGCCCGGCGGGTTTTCCAAACCTTCCCACGGCAGCGCCCGAGCGGTCCCGACCCCGCGGCAGCCGGCGAGGGCTGAGCCCACCGGAGCGGCCCCGGCCCGGTCCCTACCTGAAGTAGTCCATCTTGCAGAAGATCTCCTTGTTCTTGATGTAGCAGCTGTGTTGCTGGCGCAGCGAGGTACGGCACACGGAGCACTCCAGGCACCGGACGTGCCAGATGAGGTTGTTCACCTGCGGCAGAGAAGGGGCTGAGACCCGGGGCCACCCGCCGCCCCCCGCCGCCCCCGCCGCCCTCCGCCCCGCTCACCTTCAGCAGGTACCGGTCGAGAATCTCCAGCCCGCAGCTGGAGCAGACGTTTTTGCCGGCCGACGGCGTGGAGGAAGAGGAGGATGGCGGGGAGCAGACGGACGGCGTGGAAGGGGTGCTGGGCGCTGAGCGGGCGTCCTCCTTCTCCAGGGCTCCAGGCAGAGGCTCCCCGTCGGGCTGCGACTGCGGGCAGAGCCGCCGCGGGGCCGTCAGCCGGGGCCCCGCCGTTCCCCGCGGCACCGAAGCGCAGCGCCCCGCCGGCTCCCCGCACTCCTCGGCATCCCCGGCCCGGCGGCTTCGCACAAACCCCTGACATGCCCGGCGGGACCCCGAAATCCCCGGTCCCGCGCGTCCCCACAGCCCCCGGCCCAGCGGATCCCGGAGGGTCCCCGCAGCCCCCGGCACCCCCGGCCCAGTGCGGTCCCGCATTCCCGGCCCGGCGGGTCCCGGCCGGAACCCGCAACCCCCGGCCCCGCTTACCATGGCTCGGGAGTGCGGGTCCAGACAGCGGGCGCTCCCCTTGGGCAGCGGCTCCGGCGGCATCACCTTGATGGAGAGAGCGGGAGAGGGAGGCTGCGGCTCCATGCGCCGGGCGAGCGCGGGGCACCCTATATAAACCGCCTCAAAACAATAAATAAGAACTTTCTAGTGGCCATTTAAATCCTTTGCAACAAAAGCTGCGTCTCTTTAATGAAGCAATTTGAATGTGGATTGAATTCTCCCCCTGCCTGCACTTAACCCGGGCCTCTTGAAGTAATCGCTCGGTTCCCATGCGAGCCAAGGCGCTGAAAAACCCCCCAAACTACCTGCAATTAGAAATTGCCGTAAATGCCCGAGATAAGAGGTACCAGAGTGTCAATTCCGGCTGTCAATCAGGGAATCCATCAGGCCACCCAAAGAATTGCAAATTTGATTTTTTTAATGGTAGTAATTAAAAATCGAAATTCTTCCCCCTCTCCCTCCGCCGAGCACAAAACGCCCCAGAAAACGCCGGGATGGAAAAATCCACCCCTCTGGCGCGGGAGGCAGCGAGCGGCCCCGGCCCCGGCCCGGCCCCAGCCCCGGTACCGGCCGCCGCGGGGAGCCCGGCCCCGCTCCGGCCCCGCTCCCGGCCCCGACGGCAGCGGCGGCGGCGGCAGCGCTCACCTTGCCCGCCTGGGCGCCGGCCGGGGCGCGGCGGCCAGGGCCCCGGGGCTGCCCGCCCCCATGGCTCCGGTGCATGGGGCGGGCGCGCCCCGCTCCGCCCGCCGCCGCCGCGCTCCGTGCCCGCGGGCGGCGCGTCCCGCGGCCGCGGCAGGAAGGGCGGGGAGCCGGGCGGGGAACCGCGCCGGCCCCGCTCCCCCGCCGGGGGCGGCCGCGGGCCGGGCAGGAAACGGCGCCCCCCCGCCGCGCCCCGGGGGCCGCCCGCCCCGCCGGGCCCCGCTACCTGCGGCGGCGGCACCGGCGGCGGCACCGCCCGCGGGCGCGGCGGGGAGGGGGCGGCCCGGTCCCGCTCGTCCCGGTCCTCCCCCGCCGCTGCCCGCCCCGACGGGGCGCACGGTCCGGGCCGGCCCCGCAGCCCCCCGCGGATCGCGGCAGCGGGGATCGCGCCCACCGCCGCGGCGTCTGGCCGCCCGCCGCTGCCCGGGCTTCATTAGTAACCTGATAATTCCCCAGCAAAGCCCCGGCAGCGGTGCCACCGCCGGGTAATTGCAGGACGGTAACGTGAGCTGATGGCGGCCGGGGATGGATCCTCGCCGTTATTGATTGTGACAGCTAAATTGTTAACCGAGAGGGAAATCAGATGAAAGCCATTTTAGAATAAATACAAGGCATTAAGTTTAAACATCGAGGTTGCAGGAAAGCCTGAGAAACCCCCAGGAAACGGAACCCAAGGCCTGCCAGCTTGTCCTCCCCTGTCCCTGGCTCCACAGAGGCCGAGTGCGGGGGGACACGGACAAGTGCAGAGGCGAGATGCTGAGAAAGGACAATTTAAACCCTTCGTTCTCACTGGTGGGGTCTGAATTAGCTCTGGCTGCTCCAGGAGAAATACGTAGGAGTTTTCATGGACACAGCCACGAAAGCTGCCTGTCCCCCCACGCAGCAGCGGCCGTGGCAGGGCCATGTGGGGTTTGTTTGCATCCCCAGAGCGATGCTGGGCTTGGCAGCCATGGCTCAGCACCACGGGCCAGCACCACGCAGCCAAGCAGATGCTTGCACTGCTCTCATGATTACAGACCCAGCTCCCCAGACCCTGCAAAGCCAGAGCAGGCTCAGGAATGGGGTGACTCCAGCCCAGCTTCTGCCCTTCTCCAGCCCTGGGAGTAAGTCTTGGCTCTGCAGGGTGGGTGTCCTGCTCTCACTGCCTGCTGAGAGCAGGCAGATCTCACACGTGCATCTGGCACCAGGAACAGGGCCTGGGCAGTGGCTGGGGAATGCAAAGCACTGCAGCTAACAGGTACCAGCCCCGAGTCCATCCCTGTCCTTACGCCCCTGTGCTCCCTCCTCCAGCCCTGGAGCTTGTACAAGGCAGCAACAAGGTGGCAGCATGTCAAGCAGCAGCTCGGCCAGAATCCCAGAATTTGGGGTCGGGAATGTTCTGTGCTCCCAGAGTGAAGAATCTGCGCCTGTCCCAAGTGAGGCACTGTCACCACAGGCAGAATGGTTCAAATACCAAGGAAAAACCCAGACTGTGCCCTTGGTAAACATCGCCCTCAGTAACTCACCTTGCTCCCATGGGCTTGCTGGAAATAAAGGGGAAGCAAGGAACCCTCTCAGAGGACAGGAGGGCAGGCTGGAGGTGAGAAGCAGCCCAATTCCCCTGCACAGGGGCCAGGCACCAAGCCCAGCTCTCCTTCCCACCACCAGCTGCCACCCTCCCTACTCACGGCTCCAGCGATGCCGCGCTCCCCGGCGCTCTTCAAATCTCTTTCACGATGGTCTTATGCAAAGTCCCAGGGTTGATGCTCATGAAAAAAAAACCCCATTCCTGAGCATTTCCCTCCTCCCAGCTCCAGGGTGAGGAACTCTGGGCCCCGGGGAGCGCAGGCAGCAGCAGCAGCGCCTGCCAGGCCGGCGGCAGCAGCAGTGACCGGCACAAGCACCGACCTGCAATAAAGCTCCCCCAGGTCTGAGCCTGGCCAGACAGACAAGGCACTTCTGTTAGCGACCACGGCAGGGCACAGAAATAATTAAAAAAAAAAAGACTGATGCTATTGTACCCCGGTTCTGTCAGTGGACTTCGGCTGATGCCAAGCATTTACCACCCTCACTCACTTCCTGCTAGCCACCCTCGGCTTTCCTGGAGGAAAACATGCATTTTAAATGTTTATTTAGAGCTGTAAGAATTTCAACAAATTGTATTTAAATACAAATAAATATCAAAGGATGTTTCTGAGGGGAGCACAGCCACACACCCAGTTGAAACCAGGTATCTTCAGGTATCTTCCTAATGGAAACAGAATTCAGAGCTGTTTTAAACAATGCAGATACAGACCCGGAAAGCTACAAACGTCAGAGCACGCAAGAAGAAACACAGGCTGTTCACAGAGGAATGCAAACGGGTGCCACTCACATTCAGAGGGGTACAAACTCCCAAGAACACTACTTTTCCCTCTACTCAGGTACCCAAAAACTAGGAAACAAACATTAACAGCACGAGACCTACTTCAGAACAATTGAGGCTTTCAACAATCCTCCGCCACAGACAGGCACGGCTCCGCTCCAGGTGCTGGGCTCGGCAGCAGGAAGCCAGCTCTGCCTGGAGGGAGGTGTGCTGCTGCTGCAGGAATACAAACCTCCCTGGGCTGTGCCACTGAGCAACTCCTGCCTGCACTAACTGGGGCTGTTTCCAAATTGTTTTCCTCCTCCTGTTTGAGACCACCATTAACCAGCTTGGGGGGAGCAGCTCAAGAGTGACCGATGAGGTCTGACAGGACTGGGGAGGGAAAATCAGAGCGGTGTCACCTGGACCTGTGAGCACGTGAGCTCTCTGACATCCTCCTGGCACATGCAGTCACAGCACTGCATGCACGAAGGAGAAAATGCTGCCAGAAAATGTTTTTTCCTCAGATTTCTATTTGCAGACATTTAGGGGGAAAATGTGCTGCAGCTCAGATGGTTCAGAGCAATGCCTTCCATCAGATCTGTGGATTTGGCCCCCGGGGCAGAGCCAGTTCACCACAAACCCTGGTGCTATCTCATACCACCTCTACCAGCCCATGGAAACCAAAGCTGGGCAGGACAGGGGGCAAACACCGAGTTCATGCCTTGCAGATGTCTCAGAGGCTGCAGTTACTGCCACACCTGGATCATGAGGAGCTGCCACCATCAGGGAGCACTGAACACAAATGCCAAAGCTCAGGGCACAGCACAGACCTCAGTGATGTGTAAATAGACTAATTCCTACAGGCAGGCACACACCTACAGCCTAAATGACACTGAAAATACCTGTGCTGTGTCATTACCATATCATAAAGTAACATTGTGGAGTGTGCAAATCAAAAGGCAAAATCAATTGGCCTTGGTGCATATAAAATATTGCATGCACAGTTACTAAAGGTGTTGCAAGATCTATTTAAAATGAGTTTTATTGAGATGAAAAAGTTTTTCCATTATAACTACAGCATGTTAATCAAAACCAAGTGCTTCCCCTTCCATTAAAACATGAATTGGAATACATTTTGTTCAAAAATACTTTAAAAAGTAATCAGTTAAATGGAGTATTTTTGGATGTGCTTTACTCCGAGCGCTGGTTACTGTTCCTAATCTGGCTAATGAATGCACACTAACGAGAGGTTGCCTGTGTGTTCATCAGAGGCTTTGAAGGGAACCTATTTCTCTGAACAGCCTTCAGCTGTGAGCTGCACAGGCAGGAACAGGCAGACCCTCAGGTGTGACAAGGGCTGTGCTGGCCGTGCCCTGCTCAGGTGGCACTGTCCTTCCCACTCTACAAAAGTACAAAAGCATTGGAGGACTCCAGGTATACAAAGCAGTGTTTCTTGCTACCATCATCCATTCATAAGCATCATCTTCTGGATTTCCAGGCAGCTCTGGAGTAAGGAGTAGTCCTTTTCTTATCTGGTGGTTTGAAGTAAGAATAAACAGGTGCTGCAGGATATTCTGCATCTGGATTTTCTGCCATCATTTTCAGCTTGGCTTCAATGGCCTTTATCTTTGCACTGACACTGGAAAGAGAAAGAGCAGAAGGGAAATTGAGCTTGATCTTAGCATGAAACCCAACTACAGAAATGCAGAGATTCTGCTGACATGAGAATCCTCCCTGCACAAGGAGGGGCCAGGCAGCCCCCACTGCTGCATCCACAGTGAGGCAGGAATGCACAGCTCAGAGCCCACACTGCTCCACTTCAACCTCTGCACGGGTTTGCTCCTCCAAGAGACACCTCAGCACCCCAAAACAACGGCCCCTGCACCCATTCAGAGCGTTCTTGAGGATGCTGAGTGAGACAAGAACACGGCAAGGCTTCCTCCTTCATGTGACATGATGTCATGTCAGGAGCTCTGAGCATGTGCAGCAGAGCAGAGCTCAGAGCAGGCTGCTGGGAACAGCAGAGAAATGAAAGCCAGACTTCCTCCCAGCTACAGCCCGCTCGGGATGGGAAAACCCCAGACTCTAATTAGGTCAGGAAGAAACATTATTTCAGCATTAGCAGGGTTTGTCCCAAAGGGAGAAGCTATCCTAGGTTACACCCCAAATTCCTAGGACTCTTGTTATTCACTATCCTCCACTGGCTATGGATGGGGAGGAATGTTCCCTGCCCCACTGTGGCTTCTTGCACCATCCATCCTGACCAGAAAAACCCCTGTGTGCCACTGATGCAGTTAACAATCTGCATGACTCAAACCCCTCTGCTCTTTCCTTCCTAGCCTGTTACTTCTGAATTACAAGCTCATTTTATCTCTGGGCAAGTGCATTAATCTGGTCCTGGTTCCTCACAGGGTTCCATTGACAGAACACAGAGGAAAACCACACAAACACACTGTGAATTAACAAAGCAGCTATGTGCTTCAGGTAAATGCAGTGGTTGGAAAATTTAACCACATCCCACAGACAAGACCCACAGGCAAAAACCACTGGCAAAAAAAAAAAATTAAAATTAGTTTTATGTGAAGTACTACCTGTGATTTTGTTTTAATCTTCTGCCACTGTTGTGGAACTTCTTGCTCATAAGCATTTTGCTGAACCAAATTAGTCCAGTAAAAACCCAATGAAGTGCAGAGATTCTGGCCAAAGGAGCTGGAGTGCTATACATTCCCAATTCCTCATCTCACCTCATACCCTTCCTAGTACCCACTGGCCTTGCACTAGACAATAAACTTCCAGTCTGAAGTGTCCCACATCAAGTGAGCGACTTCACAGGTACTGCCCTTTCAAAAACAGCTTTTTTGCTGTGCTACATTTTTAACACAAACAATGCAAACAACTCTAAATCTTACTGAAATGGAAGAAGTTGGTTCCCTGCCAGTCCCACAGCAGGGTCACCTCCCACCCAACCCATCTCCTACCTTAGGTTGGACTGGGGTGGCTCCGTGCTGGAAGATGGCTCCAGACTGATTGGAAGGATCTTCTCGTTTTTATTGTGATCGTATCTCTGCAAGCAAGAGACCAAGGACTGAGTCAGCTGCAATTAGGAACAAAGAAACATTCCCACAGATGGACTTTAAAGCTGGATTAACATTGCCTCAGGTTTTGTGGAGCTTTTGCTAGGAAAGATTTTGGTGGCCAAACACTGAAACAAACCCCAACCACAATATTTGGTTAGTACCAACATGGAATGCAGGCTGGATACTGAACAGTTATGTGCATTGTACTGTGGATCCTTAAACCTTATCCTGTCACTTCTTGTTCCCCTCTACATAAGGCAGGAAGCACAGATGGTAAACTTGAAGGTAACTACTGCACTGCTTGCTGTGCTCTTTATGTGCAGAGCCAGAAGGTAACCCAAGCACACAACTGCACAGAATTGTGCAGGGCAGTCCTGGGAGAAAAGATAGGGAAAAAAAGAGAAAAAAAAATCAGTTAGGAACCCCCCCTCCTTTCTGTAGAAGCAGCTTGTGAGTCTGTCATCTCTGTGGGCAACGGGCCTCCTGAACTATTTGCAGTGTTCTGCTTCCTTATTTCGCTTGGCACAGAGTCAGGTTTGTTTTTCAGCAGAGCTGCTCAAACCGACAGCGTCTGCTGAGCCTTGGCCACTCATCCCAGAGCTGCTCGGCCCCGTGCTGGTCTTGTCTAAAACAACTCTTGTTACAATGAGCCAAAGTTTTGTGCTGTTAAGTCTTTCCATTCAGGGATTGGAAAATGCCATGTGAAGTGAGTGATTATTTATGCATGTTCCTCCCCAGACCCAGGAGCAGCTGGGCAGACGCTCACTCCTCCAGCTCAGACTCCTTGCGTGGCCTGATCATTCCTCAGGCATCCCAAAGCACGTGGCACTCCAGCAGCTCCACAGATACAGAAAATGGAGACTGGATTTGCACAAGCTTGGATGTGCTGACAAGAGCCCTTGAAGTCAGTAACTAAAACAATGTGGTCTCCTTTAATGAAGATACCTACTTTGGTGTTTTAAGCATCCGAAACAGATGCACTAATGTACTTGATAAGACAAAGCAGAAAGCTGCTGGGAGAATAATCAACTAAAAGAAAACTACCCAAAGGAAAATAGCAACAAGCATCTCCTCTCTGCCTCCCCCAAAATCTGTCTATCTGCAAAGAAAGCTATTAAAAATAAATTTCTTTATCAAATACAAGATCGTAAATAACTGTAGGAGAAACAAGACAAGAATTAAAAAAAATTAAAATAAGTATGGAACTGCCTACGTCAATCTTAAAAACTTGATTGTTTATGTGACGGAGCAAGGAATAAAAGGATATTTAGCTTAGATGCAGAGTATGTTACTTTAAAGTCAAAACTAATTAGAGCTGCTGCCACATAAGTGCTTTCAGAAGTGGAACCAAGTAACACAGCAACCGGTAATTGGGAATTTCCATACCTCTCCTATGCAAAAAAACCACAAAGGGAAGGATTCAAACTTCCAGGCAATTACTCACTAAGTTTGGGAAAAGTTAAAACATGGCCATTTAGAGAAGTAATCTGTTCACACTGCTCTGAGCAGAAACCCCCTCCCAAAGAAGCCCAGGTTAAAGGGCCTGTCCTCACTCACAGCTAATCCAGCACAGCTTGGCCAGACAGGAGAAGCTGCAAACATCAACTCCCCGAGTTATTTCCTAGAACAGACTGAAATTATTTTGCCAGGCAAGGACTGCCTTGATAAGAAGGCTTTACTATTAAAGCTTTTCAGCTCTGCAAACCAGAAGCAATTCTTGCTTGCAGCAGCCAGCTTACCTTGACCTGTGCGTGTGCCCACCGCACCACCAGCTTCTTGGAAAGGGCCAGCTTCCCATTGAGACACTGGATCGCCTTCTCTGCTTCCTGCACAGGAAGACAGCTCCATAAACAAACCAAGCCTCTAGTCAAAACCCACTCACATGGAAAGAGCCCTTTTCTCTTTGTTATTTAGCCTACTGTAAGTACAGCTCACTGACAGCACAGTAAGTTTATCCCATTGTATCCCAATGCAGGGACACTTTGAAAGACTCCCAGTAACCAGACTTTATCTCCTTGCTGCTCCACCCTCCTGGGAATAATTTTCTAAATGCACAGTGTTAGGGCTCTTCTGACATCCTTATCACCAGCTGCAAAATGGACCAACGAACTGGCCCTTTCTGGTAAGCACCAAAAAGGATTCAAGAGAAGACGGCAGAGGAGATAGAAAATCACTATTGCTACTTCCAGGAGCAGTCACAAGTGGCTGTGACAGAGCAGAGCTACTAGAATCTGTGGGTTTGTGTAGACAAAGTACAGAATTTAACCTTTCCTGTTGCAGTTTTATGTAGAATTAGCATTAAAAAAATGGGAGAGAAGTCAGTCATTGATATCAGAACTTTAGACAAAAAGCAACTTACCTGTTTGGTTTCAAAGTTGACAAAACAGTAACCCCTGGGCTGCCCTTCCAGAGCACCAGACTTGTGGAAGAGAAAGTCAAATTGCTTTACTTTGCCAAACTTCTGAAGGAGTTTGAGGAGGTGGTATCTGAAGGGAAGAGAAAACATTTATGACATGTTTCATCCCACTGACAGTGAGGAGACACAGAGGAACCCCTGAGACACAGAGCTCACACTCAGCTGTGTCACACACACATTCCCAAATCCCAGCAGAGGTGGGTGCCCTGTGCAGCATCCATAGCTCTGAGCAGCACCACCAGTGACTCTCCAAAACCCCAAGGCACAAAGTTCCCTGCCAGCAGTGCCAGCTGAAGGGCACAGAGATCTATTAATAGCTGCCTTTTGGACAATTATGCAATGGCTCCCAAGGGGTTTGGGAGTGCTTTGCCTCCTGCCTCACTAAATCACTCCTACTTTTAAGCACAACCCTCCTGTCTCCCCTCTCTAGCCCTGATGTGACCACCTGAAGCTCCATCCCCTGTGCCCCTGTCCCAGCTCAAGCCCACAGCACCTGCATCCCCCAGGACCTTGTTCCTCCTGCTGCCCTCCCTGTCCCAGAACAAACCCACCCTGCCCTGTGCCAGTGCTCTGGCAAGGACACCCAGGGCACACAGACACCTGCCTGGAAAAGACAGGGATGCAGGAAGACAGAAGAATAAACAGAACAACCTGCAACCAGGAATTGCCAGCAGGCCCCAACAAAAAAGGCACCAGCCAGCCCTCAGTATCATCCAGCCTAAATCTGCCAGTGCTTCTGGCTCAGACAGCTTTTCAGTGACATGTTCATGGGAGTCAGACACTTTTTCAGCCAATTACCTTCCTGCCATCCAGTGGGGAGTGTGCTGTTTCCAATAAAACTGGGGAAAGCCAGAGTAAATCTGTCTGCTTAGTATCTGGTGCACTGAGCCACTTAAAACAAGAAGCACAGATGCTGTACAGGCCACATCTAGTCCTGAGAGTTCTCTGCAGCTTTTTTTGGTTCCCTGGGATTGAAGTGTTTAACAACACTGCCTGACCTAGGAGAAAAGTGACACTCATTGCTCCTTCACTGCCTGACCCCATCCCTGACATTTGAGAACTATTTAAGTGTTTAATAAGGGTGTCTTAGTCAGGACTCATCTCCCCAGGAGCTGTAGAATGTTTGTTAGCAAGCCACACAGTCTAACCCAAATTTTCAGTGTTTGAGGTAACACTCAGTGCTCAAAGAGCCTACCAGGATAACACCAGGCACCAGATGAACCTCCCCTGTCCAGACATGAATGGCCAGTAGTGGCCCAAGGCAGCCAAGTGTACCAGGCACTACAGGCACTGTCCAGATGGGAAGGGCAGACAACATTTTTCCTAATAAAGCCTGATAGGATGTCTGAAAAGAGCCTTAGCCCTTTGTTAAGCTTCAGAAGCCAGGCAAGAAAGTTCCAGGAATGTGAGTCATCCCACAGGATGGGTCACAGTGGACATTCAGGATGTGCACTTTTAAAGAGGTGAAGGTGCAGCGTGTGTACAGAGGAGCAGCGCAGGAGGGCCAGTTACCCCCAGGGGAACACACACATTGTCATTGATTATGGAAGGCTTCCTACATCCTTTGCAACACCTATGAGCTCTCACACTGCTCTGAAAGCAAGGGCAACTGGAAAGAGCAGGGCTAAGAAAAGGAGCTGATTACACAGTAGCCAAATTTCACCACCTCACACTTCCAAAAAGCAGATAGAGATGTACAAGTGAAAACACTGACTTTGGAGATGTGATGTACAAAAAACTCCACACGTTGGACTTCCAGAGCCTCCTAGATATGTAAACCCACCTCAGGTTTGTTTCTGTAAACATACTGCTCCAAAAAGCCCTCGGAATTTCAGCAGTATGGAAATAAAGTCCTTACACCAGGATACTGTTCCCCTTCTGGCCATTACAGAGGCAGGGGAAGGGCAAGGAGGATTCTCCCTGAGTTCTGCACTAAGAACCCTGCAGCTGCCTTGCCAAAAGGAACTTTTTTGGGGTGTTTTTTTTTATTTCCTGAGAGCATCTGCATTCAAATAATACCTTCTTAGCAGTGAGGTGATAGTTGCTCCTTTAAAACAATTTTCATCAACAGCCTAGAAGTAACTTATGTCACCTATTTTGTTTAGAACTCTTTTTCCAACCATGCCTGCAATTTTACAACTGCAGGTCACCTCCTCTCTGTGGATCAGCTCAGAAATCCTGTATAATTCATGTTTTAGGCTGTGATTATGGTTTGTTATTGTTAAAATACTGAGGGCATCAACAGTAACTTGACAAGCAATTAAAATACTGAGGGCATTAAGAGTAACTTGACAACTTGACCTCTTCAGGCCAAGAGGTACAGAAGAAGAAGACTGTCATGGAAAACCTGAAGCCTTAATAAAAATTAAAAAATTAAAAAAAATTAAAAAAATAAAAGGTGAGAAGATGTAAAAAGCTTTGCTATGGCAACAAGGTGGGTGACCCAGCAGAGCCTGGAAGCGCTGGCACCGCCACGGCCCCAGCGCGGATCCGCGGCCAAGCTCCATCTCCACTTCCTGTCATCTGATGTGGCTGGAGACAAACCTGCAGCTCCCCCGTTTCCTTTTCCTCCTCTCTTCCTCCTGGCACCCCCAGCGCTATTCAGACGCAGGCAAGGCTTCCTCTGAACAATGCTGTCCCAAGGACCCGGCGCGGGGCCGGGCCACATGCAGAAACCATTACTGCAGGAATTCTGCCCCACTGGGAGCTGCCAGCGGGGGGCTGTGACAACAGCTTGTGCACACATTGTTTTCTAGGTGACACTCATCGAGATGGGATCCTCGACAAGCAGCACGGCAGCTGAGGAAGTTCAACACCCCTACTTCATCCCCGTGGAAAATGAATGGGCATTGAAAGGCTACGGGAAACCAGATCACGTGAACGGAGAGCTGAAAATGAAATCTCTGCCTGGCCAAAAAACTGCAAAGTGTCAGGCAGCTTTTAGGAGCAGGAATGGGCACAGGAGGCAATTCTAGGGGTACAGAACTGAACTGTGTGGCTTTACCCCATGGGGTGGGAGCACCGAGGGGCGATGAGAGCTGAGCCACAGCACACGGCCTGCCCTGCTGTGCAGCTGGGGCACAAATGGTGGTGGTGACACCAAAGCACGAGGAACCACCTGCTGCCACACTCATGCAGACCCCACGGCAGGGATCTCACGGCTCCCAGAGTGCCTGGAGACACCATCCTATGTCACAAGCAGCTGTGAGGTCCCCTGGTGCCAGCTGTCCTCCTTCCAGCTGCTGAGAACACGCTCGGGAGACTCCCAACAACAGCACCTGCTCCCACAGGCAGGGAATGCTTTCAGGGTGCTGATAGAAGGAGTCACCACGACCAGCAGCAGCAGGGAGAATGCCCAGCTGAAGAGCAAACACAACCCAGTACCCAGGGCATGCCAGCACCCCCAGCTGAGCCACAGTCACTGGATGTGTGCAACAACCTCCCAAAAGCATCAGCTCCCAGGCTGGAATTTGTGGGTAGCCCTACATTTATAAATGCTGCTCCTGCAGCTTGTGCTCCAATGTGTACATTACCTATTAACTCCCCAGCACTTGACTGCAGCTCCACTTTGCTCTTTAAATGGAAGTTTTGGATTGATTCAAGACTTTCTGATCTCATTTCTGCTCGAGAGTGTCACAACCACTTATTAACTCTGCCAACAACTCAATCAACCTTACTCTGCCTTAAACAAATCCAACATAGAAATAACAAAGGCAGCTCTTTAAAAAACAGATAAAAGCAGCAAATGCAGAAACATTTCATTTTCAGGAGTTTGATTTAGTCATCTGAGTAGTAACCTCAACAGGAATAATTCAGAGGAGCAACTAGAACTAGAGATGTAAGCCCTTAGCATGAGAGAATAAGAGTCAAGATGATTTATAGAAATTTACTGACTGCACATTTTCTTTACACTGACAATGTGCTAAAAGGGGCTTCCTCTTCTTTTATTCACAAAGAAATGGAGACACAGCATCATTTGCAGGAGAGAAGAGCGATTTTAAAGCAAAACAAAAAGCAAGACCCAGAATTCTAAAGCCTGAAATAAGCAGCAAGCACTGTCCCTCATCACTGGGCAAACTTTGAACATTTAGGAGCATGGAAGCACTCTAGGTTTGAGAAACCACCAAACTCACTTCATCCAAGCAATGAAAACAGTAAATTTTGCCATAAAAACCTATTACTTATCTGGCCAAGACTAAAGGAACAACCTACCCTGAAAGGGTCTTTAACAGCACTGAGGATCCCCCCGGGCAGTGAAGGATCCAATGCACTCACACCCTGCACTCCTGCCCTCACCCAGCTCCTGAATCCCTGAGGATCCAGCAAACAACACTCAAGAATTCCTATATCTAATTCCTCGTGGTCAGTGAATGTGGACAAACCACAGGGACAGAGCTGTGGGAGAGGAGTGGTAATTAATGCAGAAACCTCCCAAAGCTGAATGGCTGAAATCACAAAGCATTAATGATTCCATTTAGAGGCTATTAGGGAGCTGCTCTGCTCAGATGAACCACGCTCAGAATAAACCCCAGCACCTGCACACACACAAAAAGAACCAGGAAGAAAAAGTATTCCACGACAGGCACACACAATAGTTAATCAAAAATGCTTGTTTGTTGTGAGTGTGGAAAGCCCAAATTGTTTTGGGTTGCTTTTCCTTTTTATACAACCTAGTGATTTCACAGCACCCCATCCAAATATTGGACAGCACATCATATTCCCTTGACAATTTAGCTGTTCAAATGTTATGCTTGTGCAGGAGATAATTATCCATAGCCTGGAGAAAACACGAAATGCTCACAGACATTTAATTCATGCATTTACCCACCAGAGCATCCAGTCCCACCACTCCCACCTCCTCCCCACCCACTGCTGCAGCCACTCTCCTCTGAACTCACGCCCAGCAAAATACCAAAGCAGAGCTGCTGTTTGACACAGTCTGTCAGCTCTGCCCTGCCCACCCTCATTCCTCCCCAGACCCCAACCTCTCTGGGTACAGCTTCCAGGGCTGTGCCTTGCTTTACCATTTGTAGCACTGTAAGCCTCCAGCCTGATATTCTACATTTCCCCAGTTTGGAGCACAGGGATGTTTTCAGCCCCTGAGCTCCCAGACCAGCGGTGCTTCAGGAGATGCTGTGTGCAGCCTCTGAGCCCCTCGGTGCGGGAAGACACCGGCACACGGACACACCCGGGCTGGAGCGATTCCTGCCCGCAGCAGCACCCGGCAGGCACGGGCTGCTCCTCGGAGCGCGAATCTGCTATCTGCTCCAGCAGGCGACCGGCCCCGCTGGCTGGGGGCAGAGGCAGAGCAGAAGCCGGGAGTGCCGCTCCCGACCGCCCCCGCTGACCCCGGGGCAGAGGCAGAGCCGGGAGTGCCGCTCCCGACCAGCCCCGCTGGCCGTGGGGGCACCCCCAGCACCCGGGGAGCTGCGGGCACCGGGGGCCGGGCAGTTCTGGGGCTGACGCCGGGCCCGGGGGCTGCCGGGGCTGGGGAGGGGCGAAGCGGCACCGCCCGGAGGGTTCGGTGCCGCTGCGGGAACATGGCCCCGTCCGGGGCGGTGCCGCCGCGGGGGCGGTGCCGGGGGGGGTTCCGCGGTTACTCACTCGGTGATCTTGGGGTCCAGGTTGCCGATCCAGAGGCGGTGCCCGTCCTGCAGGGCGCCCTCGGACAGGATGGAGGCGTTCTCCAGCGGCAGCGCCTGCCGGCCCGGCTCCATGGGCCCGCTCCGTGCCGGGGCCGCGGCCGCTCCGTCCCCGCGCAGGCCTCGCCCCGCCCTTGGCGCCGCTCGATGACGTCACGCTGCGGCGCGGCCGATGACGCTCTCCGAGACGCGCAGGGCCGCGCTACGGTGAGCGAGGCGATGGCGCCCGCCCTCCCCCGCCTCCCTTCCCCTCCCCTTCACCGCCCCCGGGCTCCGATCCCGGGCCCCTATTCCCGATTGCCAGCCCCGATCCCCGCTCTTCGGCGCGGCTTTCCACGGGGCACCGGGGCGAGCGGGCCGGGCCGTCCTGAGCAGCGGCGGGGACGAGATGGGCGGGGCCTGGATGGGTGGGGCAGCGGGGCGGGGCCTGCGCGCACCTGCGCGGGGTTGGAACCGGGACCGGGACCGGGACCGGGACCCGGACCCGGGTCGGGGTCGCGTGTCCCCGGTGCAGGGAGGGCCGCTTTCCCCGGTGGCCGCCAGCGGCAGCTCCCCGCTCCCCGCCACCGGCTCCGCGGGGCCCGAGTCCCGAGTCCCGCGTATATTACCGCAGCTCCGCGACTGCTGATACGGCCCGGAGCCCCGAGCGGCCCGGTGGAACGAACCCTGTGAATATAGGGCTGTCAGAGCTCTGAGGCACAAACGGAAGCCTCAGCCCCGCTGGTGTGTGCACAGCCGGTACCGGCGGGAGCGGCTGCTGCTCGGCAGCCGTGGGTTTGTGTCACGGGCACATCTGGGCAGATGTGCAGAGGCCGTGCTGACACCGCTGGCACCCACCGAGCCCTTCCCGCGGCATTTCCCCGGTGGCCACGGCCGATCCCCAGAGCTCTGCCCACATCACGGAGCTGCCCTCGTCCCCGCAGCCGCCACTGAGCCCTGGGGCCGGTCGGGCTCAGCCCCCCGAGCTGCCCTCCCGCCTCTCTCCCCGCAGGTTGGGCACACCCCGCTCTCAGCCATGGCTCTGGCTCTGCGCTGCCTCCGTCCCCTCCCGGCGCTGCTGCTCCGCTCCTCCCCGGCCGTGGCTCGGGGGCTGCCCCCGGCCCCGCTCCCGGGGGGCTGCAGCCGCTGTGTCCAGCACTTGCTGCTGAGCCGGCAGCTGGCTACCAAAAAAGGTAAAAACGGCAGCTTTTCACACGGTTTTACAACCTATCTTTCAACACTTATAAGCATTTTTAATATATTTATTAATTTTGGCTGTTGTGCTCAAATGGTGAGCTATTTACTCGTTAAAAATACAGTTACTTTTGTTTTACTTCAGTTTATCTTAGACTTGATTCTAAATCTCACTTTAATATCTTCTTTCTACTTTCTAACTAACTTGTCAGAAATAGAAACTAATCTTTTGTGTAATCTGCAGCTAAAGGTAAAGGGCAGAGTCAAGCCAAAGTGAATATCAGTGCTGCCCTAGTTGAGGATATTATCAATTTGGAGGAAACCAGTGAAGATATGCAGGCAGTCATAGAAGCTCTGAAAGAAGATTTCAGCAGAAATCTCAATGTTAGAACCTCACCAGGTTGGTAACTTCCTTGTGTGATGCTCTGTAGCTTGTAAATAAGGATACAAATCCCAGTAATGGACAGCTCAGATTTTTTCAAAATCAATTTTCTTTTCCTGGAGTTATCCAATTCCTACAACCCTGACATCCCAGCTAGAGCCTTTCTTCACCCTGAGCTTGACCAGGAAGGATCCATTTTTGTTAATAGCTTCCTGGAAATAGCTTTTTTAAGTGGGAGATGTCAAAAGTGTCTAACTGAACTGTTTGCAGATGTGATGAAGAAGCAGGTTGTCAGCTAATGGTGCAGTAGGGCAGGAAAAATCCAATTGCCATTAAATGATCCTTTTGGAAATTGCCATTGGGCTGGTGTCTGGCATATACAAACTTTTTTTCCTGCTATGCATCTTTATGGGTAGTAACCTGTACAAACCTCCTTCATGGATTCTGTGTTTTAGGAAAAAATGTGAATGTTTGCCTAAGCTGCAGTTACTAAAACACTCGGAGCATTTGTAAGCATATCAAGTTTCAGGGATAAAATTTAACGTTAAACAATGACCAGATTTGAATCATTCCCCACCCCAGCTCTGGCAGGGGCACTTCTGTCTTTAATGGAGCTGGGAAGCCTAGCTCAGTCTCTTAACTATTTATTTTAACCATAGGTATTTTTTTTAATTGCACTGATAAAGTACCTCCTGGCCCATGTGCCTTTTGGCCTGTTAACATTTTGCAGCAGAAAATAGAGAGCAGATTAAGAGTAGCTCAGGGAGAAATGGAATACTTTAAATTGAGCTGTGTACAACACCCCTCTGGGGGCCTGGAAAAAATAGAGGGGTTTAAGATAGTCCTGCTAAGTTAAAGACAATATTTGTCTTGATTTTTATAGCAACATTTCGGTTTTCTTTAAGTTGTAAGAATTAAAAAAATAACCATTTCCCTTTAATTCTTAACAATCCTGCTTAGTTTTCCTATTCTAGTAGCAAAAACAAACAAGAGTTTTGTTTTCATGTTTTTGTGCTTTAGAGCAGCTTTGAATTATTTACCTTGTGAATACACAGGGGATGCCTGAACACAAACAGCACCTGAGGTCTGAATAAACACCATTTTTTCCTTTGTAACCTCTGCATTTTGCATGGCAGAAGGGAAGTGGGACAATGTGGACACGTTTTTCTCCAGCACCCCTGCACAGTGTTCTGTCACACTGAGGCTCCCTGTGTTTGGTTCTTTTGAGGGGCCCTGGATCACATAACTGTGGTGACAAAGGACGGGAAGTTTCCGCTGAACCAGCTGGGGCAGATCTCACAGAAGTCACCACAGCTCCTGACAGTGAACATGACCAGCTTCCCAGAGGTGAGGACACGTTGGCAGGGGAGGTAATTGCCACAGGAACAAACAGGTTGATGCTGAGCAAAGGAGCATTTAGACAAAATCAGTCAGATGTGGCAGGGCTGCAGCCTGGGGCTGGGCTGTGTCACTGGAGCTGACACTGACCAGGAGGGGCATTTGCTGCTGACAGCAGCTCCCCAGCCCCACGTGGCTCCCAGAGCAGCTCACCTGCAGCAGCACAGGCTCACAGCAGAGTTTCTGAGTGCTGTGCTGGCTCTCAGGGCTGTGTCCAAGGGGTGCCACAGTTACAGGGGTTTGCTTTGCAGGCACTTTCTCTCAGTTGGATCTGCAAAACAGCAGAAGCACCATGGACCAGATTGCTGGATTCACTGTGCCCTTCCAGCCCTCCCCATTTCCCATGCATTTATGAGAAGCCTGAGCACACACACTCACCTGAGCTGCAGACAGGGCAGCAATGCTCTATCAGCCCTCTTATATTCATCTCAGTTCCTTGTCAGGACATGGCCATGCACAGAACCAGACGTGTCGTTGGAATTTGTGCTGGGAACTTCACCAGACACCTCTGAAACTTGCTTATATATTACCAGAGCTGCTGATAGCCCTGAGAGTTCATGAGAGAGGCTGTGATGTAGCCTGTGACCTTCTGAGCAGCTTTTCTGGTGGGACTGAGCTGGCTCCTGCTCAGTGCTGTCACAGGGCTCGACTTGGGCACTGCTGAACTTGGCCAGCTCCTCCCTTGGCAGCACCTGCAGGTCAGAACTCAAATCAGGGGCTCTGGTTTATCTTCTGTGAGTTCTTTTAATTTTCAGCAGGAGCCTTAGGCCTGCCCTTGAATGAGGCAGCAAATCCAAATCCCAGCTCAGCTCAGCTCAAGCCCTGGGGGTGCCTGCAGCAGGTCCCAGAGCCAGGCACAGGGCAGCAGGAGTAAGCTCAAGGTTAACAATTCATCTTGCTCCAGGGCTGGAGCTGTGCCAGGCCTTATCTCTATTTATTTTGCAAAGGCTTTCCCCAATTAATTAAGTCAGCAAAGTCTCAGAGGAGGTCAGTGCAAGGCACTTGATGCCTGAGTGTTCCTTAGAGTGTATCCCTTGTGTATAAAGGCTCTGAAGAATGGAGGCCCTCATGAGTGAGGTCCTGAGAGGGCCAAGGAAGTCCCTCCATGGCTTCTCCCATGTCCAGGCAGGAGCTCAGGCTGAGAAATGGGCACGGGAGAAATTAAATATCCTCTAGATAGGATTGCCTACATTTGCTTCCTATGCTAAAGGACCACTTGAACATTTCTCTCACCACAGTTGCTTTATACCCACACCTGTTTTGTGATAGATTGAGCTAAAACCATTAGAGACATGATCACTTGATGTCATTATTTACAGCATAGAGTCAGTAGTTCATGACACTGAGAAGAAAATAAAATTGCCTGAAGAGTTTGAGAAATAAAATAATCATAGAAAAGGACTTGCAGAGCCAAAGTCTGTCTTCCCAGGAGTTATAAAACCAAACAACACTGGATTTTTAAATACAATTTTTTCACAGGCTACAAGAAGATGGAAGCAATATTGCAATATTTTCCCTTCTCTCATTACTTTCCTCTTCTTCTATCTCCTCCAATATCTATGTTAAACAACACAGTTTTTAATGAGCATTTCTTTCCTGCAGACCAGGCACTGTCCATGGAATAACACATTGACATTCCTAACATGCTGAGATCATTCTGGTTGCATTTTCTCTGCCCTTGTAGTTTCAGGGGACAGCAGTTGTCTCCTGCAGAACACCAGCAGAGCATTCATCTCATTCAGTGATGTCACACAGGAGGGACCTGAGCAAATCTGCAGAGCTTTAGTTTGTGCCTCAGTTGGCAAAAGCTGAGCTTTATAAATACAGTCTGAGCTACATAAATACTGCAGCAGCCTGGAGCTAAAGTTAATGATGGCAAAGAGTATCAGAAATAGCATCATGCCTGGTAGGAAACGAGTGCCACAGGAAAAAAAACTCCTGGGGCTTATCAGAGTCAAAATGAAGTGACCTGGCAGAGCCCTGTGGGTGTTCTTGGCCAAACTCTGCTTTAACCCCAAAGCCTGGCACTCTGTAGAGGGGCACTCACCTTGTGATGGGGGTGAAGCCTTGAAATCACCTTGCAGTCAGCAGGCAAACCTGCCACCCCCCTTCCAAACACAGCAGGGGGGAGTTTTGGGAAGTGTCCTGTGGTCAGCTTGTGGTGCTGAAGTGGTTAAGTTCGTTAGGGTTTCAGAATTGGCACTGGGTGATTTCCAGGGGGAAACATTCAGCTGGAATTTTCAAATGCTCAGAATCTTTCATCTCCTTTGCCACAGTCGGGCCCTGCCTTGGGAATTTGTTGCGGTTTCACTCTGCCTTGCCTCAAACCATTCAAACAGTTTCAAAGAAGCAAAGCAGTTTTCTTTTGTTGCTGCCTCCCTTCCCCTCTCCTCCCTGCGTGCCCCTACCCCAGCACGAGCGGCCGCAGTTTCCCACTGGCTCTGATCAAAGCTCTCTGCACCAATGGCACTTCCTGATCTCACTGGTAACACAAGTAAATGTTTCCATGTCCCATGGAGATGGATTGCCAACTATTGACAGAGGTCTGGCATATGGGAATGATTATTTCCTAATTCCCTTTACCTTTTGATCTGTTCCACAGAGCACAGCTGCAGCTGCAAAGGCCATAAGGGAGAGTGGCATGAACCTGAACCCCGAGGTGGACGGGACGGTGATTCGGGTGCCAGTTCCCAAGTGAGTATCCATGCCCCAGCTCTGCATCATGCAGGGAGTGCCCTTCAGAGGCTAAACATGCACGATTGCTGTGTATCCCCATGCAGCTGCTTTCCAAAGAGCTGTAGTTTCGGTTCAGGAAAAAATCCGAGCCCTTAGAAGGGTCTTGTGCAACCTCTTGGGAGTGTCTGGGCTCTGTCACCACATCTTGGCATCTGATGATTGATCTTATTTTTCATCTTCCCTCTGCAGAAGAAGCTTGGTCCTGACTGGCTGCAGCACTTTTAAAGAGAGAGCCAAAAGCTTTTGAAACTGTATTGCTTTAATTCAGGGGCTGATTCTTAGCTGCCTGCTCTAAATTCCTGCAATTACACCAGCACAGAACAGCAGTGTTGAACCAGTGATGTTAGGGGAGAGTAGCACCTTGCTGCAGAGAGCACTAAAAGGAACTGAGGAAAGTGAGAGGAAGGAAATTTATAGCTTTGACAAAAAATCTGCTCACTCTTTTGTGTAACACACAGTGTGTAACTGGGGGCTGTATGGAAAATTTGGTATGGGGCTAGAAAAACAGGTTACTCAGGCAAGGGCTGAGCATCACTTCCCTCACCCAACACAGACCTCGGACAAGGCAGGAGGTGCTGCTGCATCCATGCTTCACTTTGGATCAGGAGAAGTGATCCTGGCTCTGCCTGGGAATGGGGCTCCACTCAGATGAAATGAGGAATCTCCCAGCAGCTCCAGTCACTGGCACAGGGCTGGGGGCACAAGGAAAATTCATCAGCTCCTGTGGGTGCTCAGACCTTATGGAGCATCAGAACACCCTGGGCAGGTGTGGCTGGGCATGGTTTCCCACCATGGTAAAGACAAACAGCTCCCACACAGGGCATGCACAAACCCCTTGTGACTTCTTGGTAAAGATGAGCCAGGTATTTGGTGTGCTGTAAATCTCCTTTAAACATTCTGTGGAATTTTACCCAGCATTTTGATCAGAGAAGCCTAATTGCAGCTTTCCGTGGCTGTCGGTGAGAGGCAGTGACATTATCATTCTATTTGCTGATTTTCCTTCCCTGTGCTCCCTGCCCTTCCCCCATTCCTCAGGAGAGGAGGCAGAGGAGGAGGAGGGCACCATTATCTTTGTAATTGCTGAGGCTCCCGGGTTGCTGCACAGTGGTTTGATTGTTAATGGGCACTTGGGTCATCCTTGAATACGAATTGCAGGGGAGGAAACTCCAAAACTGCAAATCCCCAGCTTTAACAAAATCCTGTGTTTTTAAACAAATGTGTAGGTCTGTCACTATCTTCTGTGGTGCTGCAGAGAGAAAACAAGGCTCCTCTTCCCAGGGAAGCTCTGCCTCTGTGCTCCCCTCCCGTGTCAGGGCTGCAGCTCCTGGTTCCCCTCCTGGCTGCTGAGAAGTCCTGAGTTAAGGATTCTGTGCCCCACATCTGCCCTCTCTGGCCCTCCAGTCCCTGCTGCTCTCCAGCTCCATGTCTGGGGCTGTGGGAGTTTCAGCCACTCACCTTAAAGACAAACAGTTCCAGCCTTTTAAACCCCCTAATGAAAAAGGCAGGGCAAAGATAATTATATCCCTCATTTACTTTTAACATTTTTTTTAAGTTTTGCATTATTTCCAGCAGTTCATGAAAGAATGTATGACAGACAGATGCAGTGAAATTGCAGAATTACGTCAGGTGTGCAAAATAAGCAACAAAATCAGAAATGAAGAGACAATATTAATATTGGTTCTGCAGACTTTGGTTCTTTCATGAAGGGAGGCACAATAAAAATGAAACCAAATCCAAATTGTCCTTACCTGTTGTTATAACCACTCCTCAGTCTGACCTGTCAGCTGGACACACGTGTGCCATATTTTGCTTTGTGCAGGTCCAGCTGTGCTCTGGAATGTTTCAACAGAGCATTTCAAAATGGAGTTTGCTTTTCAGTATTTATTCTATCAGTTTAGTTTTTGCAATGCAGTTTTAACAGAAAAAATACACTCGTGTCCTTGGTGTTTACTTCTGCTGCCTGCCAGGATCCCTCTGCTCCCCAAGGCATTCTCCTGTTTGTGTGGCTAGCACTGCATAGGCAATATTTATTTGTATAAAAAGGAGCCTCTGAGGGTTTAAAAATAAAAATGACAAAAAAAAAAAAAAATAGGAAAAAAAGGAAAGAAAACTATCCATGGGAACATTTGTATTGGTTGATCTCTTGGCCGAATTTGACCTGACCTTGTGTCTTTTATGGTATTGCCTCATTTTTAGATTCATCTTTTTTGGACCCATTGTGTTACACTGGATATTGTTTGTAAATCAGTAATATTTTTACACATGCTTTACTGAAAGCCAGATGACTCATTTGAAAGTTTAATGACTCATTGTGAGCCTTTTTTTTCCCTTTGCCCTTTAAGAAATAAGCAGATACCTACTATGGGGAGAAAGGACCAAAACATTTCACTTGAAAACACCCCAAAGCTGTTGTGAGCTGCTCCTGCTCATCATCAGGAGCCTCTTGCCTGCGTTTTATTGAGCAATAAATGTTGCAGCCCGTGTTTATCTGCAATTATGAATGCAGAGTGTTTAGTTTAGCCTACTTTCCTTTAACTGATCCCTCTCCTTCACAGGAAATTCCTGGTGTTGGAGGTACAGGAATCACTCTTACCCAGAGAAATGTCTTGTGTTGAGCTGGGTTGTCCTCTCAGGGTCTGTTCTGCCACATGCAGGGGTGGGACCTTGCGGGCTGCAGTGCTGGGGGAGGCAGAAGGAGAGATTTTCCTCAGAAAAAAAGATGTGACCCCCCTGAGATGTCACTCAGCAGGCTCTGCCCTGGGCCAGGCAGGACAAGGCTGTCCCTGGGGGGTGGCAGGGATTGACCCTGCTGCTCCATGGGCTGCTGGGTGGGAGCTTGTCCTCATTCCCCATCTGACCCCCTTTCCCCAAGTTCACTTCACACTTTGTTTTGGCTTTGAGAGGGGGTAGGGACAATGGTTACTAGACAGAAAAGCAAACATACCTAAGAACAGCTTAAAAGTCCCAGATCTCGGGGCAGGATTAGAACAACTGTCCTTAGAAACCTGGGGCCTGGCTCGTGTTGATGGATTCCTTAACCAGAAACAGCATCTGCTTGGAAAAGTCTCTGTTTCTGGCATTATTGGTAGCATTGCTGAGAATTTACACACAGTCTGGCTGGAACATAAAACCCGCTGAGAAACTCCCCGGCGCTGCGCGGTGATAAAAAGAAATTGGTGTTAATAAAGACAGACAGGGAGGCATGAAAGCTGTGACCCCGTGCCAAGAAGCAGAGGAAATCTGGCAGTGCTGCATAAACAAAAACATTTCCTTCAAGGCTCGGCAGCCCCGGGCAGGCCAGCGATACCCTGGGCACAGCCAGGCTGGGCTCCCGCCCCGAGCAGCCCCGCTGAGCTGCTCCCTCCAGCCAGCAGGGCCTGGGAGAGACCCCAGCTCCCCCCTCAGGCTGAGCAGCCAGGATGCACTCCCCATTTAACCCCAAAAAAGCTGCCTGAGAAGGTGCCCAGCATTCACTCCCCACTTAACCCCAAAAAAGCTGCCTGAGAAGGTGCCCAGCATTCACTCCCCGCTTACCCCAAAAAAGCTGCCTGAGAAGGTGCCCTCAGGCAGAGCTGTGCCTGTGAGCTCCGTTGGGGGTTCTGGGATGTGAGAATCCCAGAGGAATCAGTGCTGGGACCCAGGGGAACCACAGGGAGGGATCCCTGCTCCGTCCTGGGCAGACACTGGGGCCAGGCTCCAGCCTGTGCTGACCAGAATCCTCCTGCCACGTGTGGTGGGTTAGGCTGGAGCTCAGGGCAAGGTTCTTCCCCCAGAGGGTGGTGGAGCCATGCCCAGGCTCCCCAGGGAATGGGCACAGCCCCAGGAGTGCTTGGACAGCACTCTCAGGCACTGGGTGGGATTTTGAGGGCCAGGAGTTGGACTCTTCCAGCTCAGGGTATTCTGAGATTCCATGTGACATTCCCTGGCCAGTCCCTCCACAGGGAGGGGGCAGGCTGGGGTGCCCTGGGTGCCAGGGCTGGCTTGGCTCTCTGGGTCTGCCAGCTTTCCTGGCCATCCTGAATTCCTGTAAATACTAACTGCTTCTGGGAAACCTCTTCCCTCTGGCACTGGGAAATGGGGATGGCTGCCAGAGACCTGGCTGTGGGGACGGGCTGAGGGTCCAGCTGTGCCCCCAGAGCCCATACCCACCAAGGGGCAGAGCCCAGGCACCCTCACCCCACATTTCCTGAGCTCTCTGTGCAGAATCCTGGCCCCAGGGTTTGGGTGACCCAGGCTGCTGCAGCCAATTTCTAAATACTCCTGTGAAATGTTTATTTTGCAGTATCACCCCCACGCATTCTCCTGCTAGAGAGTCTCAGGGAGTGCACCGGGGTTTTTCCTTCTCAGGCAGTCTGGAAACTCCAAGAGCTATGAAAATAATTAAAATACTGTATTTAAGCACTAGCAGTTGACAGTGGTTAGCTGTAGGTGCTGGAGCATGACCTGAGCTCAGGGGACACATCAGCCCTTCCTGAGCCTTTTATCCCAGAGCCCCCCATCACCAGTTTTTAGTGTGGGATAGAAAGTTGAGCATTTTTTGGTGACACCACAGCAGCAGCTGGCCCCACATCAGGGGGAGGGTTCACCCTGGTCTGGGTTACCTGTGGCTTACCATGAGCAGCAGCATCCTCTTGTCAGCCCAGGTGTTCATATCATCCTGGTGGGAAATCCTGCTCATGGTGAGCTGGAATAAGATTGGGTGAAAGATAAGCTCCTTGGCTTCCAGGTACATAATTCAGGCTCTTCAGCTGCAGGGAGGCAAATCCCAATTTCAGGAGCAGACTTTCCTCCTGGCTTTGCAGTTCTGTGCTTTTTAGGATGACACTTTTCACTTGATCTTTCAAGTCTGGAGCTGGATTTTTCCTCTTTTCCACACATGCTTTGGCAGCAGGAAGTAAGGAATGTCTGAACATTTCAAGATGACTTTCAGGCACTGCAGCAAGAACTATAAAGCAAGATTCAGTCCAAGATCCCCAGCTTAGAGCTGAGCTGGAAATTTTCCATTCTAGGTTCAAGACTGCTTCCTTGGAATGCTGTGCAGAGCTGGCAGATTTTCTCAGGTGGACCAAAGCAGAATAAAAACATGTCCTGAGCTGTTCAGTCCCTCTGCCCTGAGACAGTGCCTCCACACAGAGCCAGCTCCATCTAAAACCAGCAGCTTTTGTGTGTCCCTGAGCAGGGCAGCACCAGTTGGAGAGGATCACTCATTTACCCAGAGTCCTTCACAGAAAATAAATCTGGCTGTGCTACACATGACACTGCTTTTCCTTTTGTTGTTTTTCCTCTCCTCTCTCTCCCAGGGTCACAAGGGAGCACAGGGAGAGCCTGGCCAAGCTGGCCAAGCAGTCCACCAACAAGTCCAAAGAGGCCCTGAGAAAGGTGAGAAGCAAAAGCATCACCCAAGTAAAGAAGTCCAAGAACAAAGTGTCAGAAGACACCATCTGGCTGCTAGAAAAGCAGGTAATTTTTCTTTCCTTCTGCCATATTTTGGTGCCCCACAGCTCAGTGGTTTGTCCCAGCCCTTGCTGACAAATCCTCAGCACTGAGAACCCAGTGGGGCAGTGGACAGCCCTGGGCTGAATTTCTGGAGCTGGCAATGACATTTGTATCTGCTTTTTGTTTGTGAGACTGGGGGCTTCGATCTCAAAGCCAGATTTAGGATATGAGCCATTGTAAGCTGACACAGGGAAAAAGAATTCCCCAAAAGCTTTTGTACTAGAGGGGATTGTTGCACAAAGCAGCAGAATTTAGGGAGTGAAACAATCCATGGCCATGGCTGTACCACCACTCATGCTATGCCTGGCCACTGCAAATGTGTTAATGAGCATTGCTCCAGTTGTTATTAATGAAAAGGCTTGCAAGATTATCTCTGTTCTGAGTTTTTGGCTCCAGTTCAGGAAAATACTTAAGCACATGCCTAATTCCCTAAGAGCAGATGTCACTAAAGTCAATTACTTGGTCATAAACTCAGGCACAAGCCTAAGTGTTCTGCTGAATTGATGCCTCTGAAGGCAGGCCATTACTCCTTAGCTGTTTGTTTATTAACAGCTAAAGTTAGATACATTGCAAATGCTCTGGGACAGTTCTGTGTGTGCTCACAAAAATAAACATGGATATACAGAGGGTTTGTGCAAGCAGGAAAAATGGCCATGCCATTGTAACCAAATCCTGCAGGAAGCCTCTGTCCCAGAGCACACAGATGTGCTCTGCACTGGTGGAGGGCACATCTCCAGTGCAATTCCTTCCTTGTACCCAGATTTTTCATTGTGAGCAAAGGCCATTGCCAGGCCTTGTGCACAAGCAGATCTTCATCCCCTGGAACCAGTGCACAGCACACACTGTGCTCCAGGCTTTTCCTGCCTGTTTTCATCCCCTCTGCACAGTGGCCATGTCCATCCCTTGTTGTCAGGAGAGCTGATCCCTGGGCAGGGCTTCAGCCATCACCAGTCACTTGAGGCTTTGTTCCAAGGGGGGTTTGGTCACTGCTTTCCCCTTCAGCTGTGGCATCACCTCACACAGAGCTCTGGTTTGTGCTGTCTTGCCACAGATCCAGCAAATGGCAGATGAGGCTGCTGCAGAGATGGACAAGCTGCTGGCAGCAAAGACCAAGGAGCTGCTTGGATAAACACCATCCCAGCTGTCAAAAACATCACAAACATCATCCAAGTGCCCCTGGAGCAGGAATGGGCTGCCACAGCCCCAGCACCCACCCTGCCCGGGGCCAGCAGCCCCAGGGGTGGGCAGGGGCAGCTCCGTGCCCTGGCTGCTGCCATGGCTGCCTTGGGGTGTGCTGGAGGGAGGGGGGAGCTCTCCTTGCTGTCTCTATCCAGCTGGGAACAGGATTGGATGAACTGATACCAGAAATAAAATACCAGGAAGGAGAACTGGAAATTGCTGGAGGCACAGGGGGAGGACTGCCCTGTTCACTTGGTGCCCCATCTTTGCCCCACACCCTCAGCCCCCTGGAGCCAGGGCCACCCATGAGAGGAACCTGCCTGTCCTGCTGCAAACCTCAGCACCTATTTCTGCTTGAAATAAAGTCAAAATGAGGCGTGGAGCAGCAGCCTCACAACAGCCAGGTCCTGCTTGGAGTGTTCCCTTGGCTCACGTGTTCCAAAGCAAGCATTTGCCCCATGCCACAGGGCAGCAGGGGCTCTGTGGGGAGAGACCTGAAACCAGTGCTGTCAGCACAGCTGCTTTAGCCAGGACTGTGAAAACCTAAAGCCAACACAGGAACTTCCCAAAAGCAGCATCTGCCTCCCCAGGCATCTACAAAACACCTGAGAGCCTCTGGCAGCAGAGCTGAGGGCTTGGAGGAGGCGCAAGCAGAGCAGGTCCTGAGCTCAGCTCCTCACTGGGAGCAGGTACTTCCCAAAGGCAGCCCCAGGAAGGTGGTGGCAGCCCCAGCCCTGCTCCCAAGGCATTTGGGTTCAAAGAGCACCAAGTGCTCTGCACTCCTTAAATAAACAACTCCCCAAAAGTTAGTTTGTGTGCCACGGGGAGGGGGAGGAGGATGAAGGATTTGCTCTGCTAGGGCCCCACATGTCAACAATTTCTCTGCTTTGTGTATTTTGGCCAAAGCCCTTACCATGATAAATGAATAAAGGAAGATGGCGAGCCCAGGGCGGTTCCACTGCTCGGGAAATTGCTTTCAGCCATTACTGGATTTCTTCTGACATTTATCAACTGGGCTTTTTTTTTGCCATTGTTGCAGCCTCAGCATCCCCACAGCAGCCTGGGCTGGAAGGGTTTCCCTCATACCTGCCCAGGAGCAGCAGCAGCTGGGCTGGGAGCTCCACAGAGCCAGGGCAGGTGGAGAGGAGCTGCTGCTGCTGCTCATGGAGGCTCCTCCAGCCTCTCCCCTTTCTCCCAGCCCTTGGCGTGGTGGCAGTGGGCTGGTGGAGCCAGGCAGTGGAGCTACAGGGGGCCACGCACACGGGAATGCCCCAAATATTTACCACTACACAAGGAATAAAACCTGTGGTAAAACTGCCCTGGTGCTGGACTGGGACAGAGCTGCCTGGATGGTTGGGAGCCCATTTACCTGGGTCCCCCTCTCACCCCTGTGCCCTGCATCAGGCAGGAGCAGCCACAGGGCCCACAGGAACTGCTCTCAGCCCTGGTACCACCGAAGCAGGGCAGACAAGACATGAACATGAGGAGCTGTGCCCCATCCTGCTCCTTGTGGGACAAGCAGGAAAAAAACCACAGCCCCAGCACCTCCCAGCCACACAGAACCCCCCAGAAAAGGAGAGGATGGGCACTCACCACTGGCTGGCTCACAGGGTGGCCCTGGAGAGGTCCCACTTTCCCTTTGCAGCACAAATCACCTGCTGCTCCACATCAGGAGCTGCAGCACAAGGTCTGCCTGCTCCAAACACTCCTCCCCTGGCACCAGCAGGAACCTCTCACTTGGTTCCAGCCTGGATTGCACCCAGAGCTGATAAGAAGCTGCAGCTGATGCTGTTGGCGGGTGGGAAAGGAGCTCCAGCTGTGCCAAATAACCCAGGAGGGGAAGGGACATGGGCCAGAACGCAGCTGGGCTGCTTCACTGTGGGTCGGTGTCAGCGATGCCACATCAGCCACCAAATGGTTTGGCCTTGGCAGGGCAGGGGGTGAGGGAGGACCATGGCTGGACCCCCCTGGGCTGCCCACACCCTGCTACCCTCTGCCAACAGCACCTGCCAGCCTGGGGCACTGGCAGGGTCCCACTGGTGGCACTGCTGCGGCCTGGAGGGATGGGGGTCCCCTGGGGGTCACAGTCCCAACATCCCTGTGCCCATCCCTGTGCCCATCCCTGCTCAGGACAGACCTGTGCCCTTCCCAGGCTGCCCAAAGCCACTCTCAGCTCCACCAGGATGTTCCAGTGCTCCAGGCTGGACACAGCAGGGCAGGCCCCGGGCTCCTGGCAGCTGCCGGCCCAGCCCCGCGGCCACAGGGACACGAGCAACTGAGGCACAGGGAAGGAAAAACTCCAAGGAAGCTGGAAGCTCTCGACATAGTTAAAAAACAACATTGCTCTTCAAAATAGAAGTGATTGCGCTCCTTGTGAGTCACGGAGCAGAGACACGGAGATTGCTTTGTGCCAGGGACGGGCGGGCGCTGATTGTGCCGCCCGGATTTGTATCCACAGCCTGGATGGCATGTCAGAGTTTACAGCGAGCATGCATTTTCAACAGTGAGCTTTGCAAAATGTATCAATGTAATCTCTGCCTCCTATATTCCGTGTTGATTAGACACGATTTCTGGCTGGATTTTCAGAAAGCTCAAGTGCTTTTTTAATCACTACAGAAGCTCATTATTGCTTTCCAGTGACTCTTATGTCCTTCACTTCTCCTTTCAGATTAGAGTCTATAGTCAGATGAATATTGGATGATTTCATTACATACAAATGCAATCAACAGTTTTGCATAAATTTCTCCTCTTTTCTTGAGTTTCAATTGACCTCAGCACCCGTGGAGGCAGGCGCAATACACATGTAAATGAGCTGGCGTTGCTGCAAAGACACGGATTCGAGAAACAAGATAAACTGTCAGATAATATTCAGGATTTTTAACAGATCAAAAAATACTTCCTCGTTCAGCCCAGCCATAAAAATGGCACCTTCAGCTGCTGGGGAATTTGCTTTTGTTTTGTTCGTGTCTGGCTGTGGACAAAGAGCAGGAGTGGTGAGAGGGGCTGAGCAGAGCCAGGCTGGGAGTGGGGTGGGGTGTCCCTGGGGTGTCCCTGGGGTGTCCCTGGGGTGCAGCAGTGGTGGCACAGCTCTCCCACCACAGAGAAGCCTCTGCTGGAGTCAGTGCCCCCGGCACACTGGGGAGCTGCCCGGACAGCCCAGCGCCTGCTGCAGAGCTGGGCTTGGTGCTACCTGTGGTGGTGCTGCCATCCCCATTCCTGCCCTGGGGGACCATCTCAGTGGGATGCTGAGTTCAGACCCCTCAGAGCCCCCCTGGGCAGTCCCGAGCAGCAGCCCAGCAGCGGGGGCCCGTGGGGAGCAGGGCTGGGCCAGGGGCTGCCCTCCTCACCCTGTGCTGCCACACACAGGGGAACCACACGTTCCAAATATATTTAAGCTAACACTCCACACGAACAATCAGGGCTAATTTTAAAAAAACTGTAATTAAAAATAAAGGACCTCTTGGTAGAGAAGTCGGGGTAAACTGTCAGCAGTCACTTTGGATGTGAAGCCCTTACCTTTAAAAGAATAATTTTTGTGCTAATGTGAGCAATCCAGCACTCCCACACTCGCCTTCGGGGGGCCTGTGGGGAAAGAAACTCGTGGGTTTCTTTTGATACCTTTACGTGCTAATCTTCTTAACAGATTTTTAATTAATGGGAACAGAGCACTTTGCAGCCGTGAAATCCATCGGTGTAATTGCCTGGTGGATTAGTCCCATTAACCACACAAATTACCTGTCTCCAGGCCGCCAGCCCCACCGGGGAGCTCCCTGTGCTGGACACACTGAGCAGCCCCATTCTGAAGCAATTTTGATAAAATAAACTCTCTAATCAGGTAAATAATTCCATAAGGGAAATTGCTGCCTTCCCGCAGCCCCCCTCCAGCGGGACCTGGCTACTTTCAGGGGAATGCAACACGCCTCCAATTACAGACAAATCTCCAGCTCCGAGACCGTTTGGGAGAAGCCCACGGCACACGGGACCCCCTCGAGCCACAGCGGCTGAGGAATTAGGGCATTTAAGCTGTCAGCTGGAATCTGGCCCGGCCCCTGATTACCTGGGGGGACGTGCAGCGTGTTTAGGTTCGTGTCCGTTGTAATTTCCTGACCCCCAGCGTTGATCCCGAGTGACTCCTGTCCGTGTCAGGTTCCTGCCCGCAGTCCCTCCGACACGTGGCCCCGGGCTCGGGGACACCGACCTTTGGGCAATTAAGGACATCCAGGCCAGCCTGAGCCTGGGGAAGTGGGAACGTGCAGCCGTCCCCAGGAGCCACCTGTGCCCCTTTCCCACCGAGCCTGGCCAGGCTGCGTGGCTGTGCTGGCGGCCATCACCCCTCGGGATGGACACCTGGACCCTCCCAGCCCCGTCCGTGGGTTTCCATGTCCCATTGTGATTTTGGACCTGAATCTGACAAGACTCCCCCAGCTGTCCTCTGCTCAGGGCCTGAGGTGGGGCTGAGCTGCCCCAGGGATCCCGTGGGACCCACAGCCAGCAGGCACAGAGGGGTGCAGGGCACCCACACTGCCATGCACAGCCCCGGCACGCTTCCCCTGCTTGGTGAGGGGCTGCCCAGTGCTCGGGGCTCTGCCAGCCCCTCGGCCAGGACGGCTCCAAACCTGCGGTACCCGCTGGGGCCTGGCCAGGAGCAGGGAGGAGGGTCCCTGTTGTGAGCACGTGTGTGGGGACAGCCTGAGAGGGAGTGGCAGCAGTGACACGCCTGTGGGGACAGCCGCATGGTGAGGTGGCCTTCGACCATGCCCTGAATCGCTGGGGTGATCAGTCCCAGTGCCGGCCCGATCCGGGATGGAGGAGCCCAAAGCACGGGGGCACGGGGCTGTTCTTCCCCTGGGGCACAAGGCTGGAGCTCTGCCCTCGGCTGTCCCCATCGCTGCTGGCACTGGGGGCAGAGGGTGACCCGTGGGGCCGCCCCGCACGGGAGGGGAGGTGTCGGTGGCCGGGGCAGGGCCGGGCGGCAGGGCCGGAGCGCAGGGGCTGCCCGGGAACCCTACACCGCGGGTAATTGGCATCAGATGCTCCCTGACCTGCCGCATCCACCGGGAAGCTGGAAGCATTTATTTGTCTGAGCCGGCGGCTCTATCTGCGTGCGGGAGGCGTTGGCGGTGGCGGGGCTGGGCTCCGGAGCCTAATGAGCCTGAGCTGAAGATGATGAATATGATTGCTGAAAGCGCTTTCCTGAGTCCTCCTTTCCTGGGGCTCAGGTTACGAGTTCCCAGACAGCCTGTCCAGCCCCAGCTTTTCAATTCTGATTTGCAGCCCCCCAAACTGTCTGTCAGCTCCCCGTGCCGGAGGAAATGCTGGGTCCTCCTCTGCAGTGCCCGGCGGAGCTGGGGAAGGGGCCGCCAGCCCTGTGCAGCCATCGGGGAGGGTTTGGCCCCTCGGGCTGCCCCTGTTGGCCCTGTGCCCCCACAGCCCCCTGAGGCAGAGGGGACTAGCCCTGAGCACTGTCCCCTGAGGGGTCTCCAGCCACCAGCATCTGCTGTGCCCTTGTTTCTGTGGCTATTGGGGACCTTGCCACCGGTCACCTCTTAACCTCACAGCAGAAAAATGTAGGGTTCAGCTTCTGTGTTCTCTGCCCATCCCCTGCAGCCCACGGCCAATGTTCCCCCACTGAAGCACATCCCACAGAGAAGCTGCTCAGGGATGGACAAGGATGGGTCAGCCCGGGGATGCTCCATGGCCATGCAGATCAGAGGGACACAGTCCTGACAGGCCTGGTGTGGGGAGCTGTGGGGTGCCCCTGCCTGGCTGCCCACAGCTCTGCTCCCTGTGTGGGGCTCAGGGTGGGTGGTGTCCCTGAGCTGCTCCTTTGCCCCTTGTCTCATGGTGTCGCCATGGCTCGGGTGTTCCCGTGGCTCCAGCATCCTCGGGCAGATGGGGAAAGGATTTTATGAGGGAAGGACTTTGGGTGCTGACCCGCCACAGGTTATTGTGTCCCGCTCTCCTGTTCCAGTCACGTTTCGGATTCCGGGGGCAGCACCACCCCAAACACGGGGAATGAGGGGCTCAGGGGACCGGAGAGGAGATGCGGGGCGGCCCAAGGCAGAGCAGCAAAGGAGCAGCGATGCTTCATGCCTCCCAGCACCTTCCAGTGCCTCCCAGCGGCTCGCAGCCCTCCCGCCGCCGCCGCCGCGCTGCCATCGGCGGTGTTCTGCTGCCTCCCTACGGAGGACGCGCCGGCAGCACCGGGGCCCCGCCGCCGCCGCCGGGACAGACGCGCGGGGCCGTGACCGGGGCGGTGACCGCTCACCGGAGCCTCGGGCGGGGCTCTGGTGCATCCCAGCACGGCTCCGAACCTGCCTTCTCCATCCTGTCCTGCACCGCAGCCCAAGGGTCATTCCCGCACCATCCCGGGGCTCTGGCGCCGGCGCATCCCCGAGATAGCACCCGCACATCCCCGGGACAGCACCGGCAAATCCCCGGGGCAGCACCCGCACATACCCGAGATAGCACCGGCACATCCCCGGGGCAGCACCGGCACATCCCCGGGACAGCACCGGCACATCCCCGAGGAGCACCGGCACATCCCTGGGACAGCACCGGCACATCCCCGGGGCAGCACCGGCACATCCCCGAGGAGCACCGGCACATCCCCGGGATAGCACCCGCACATCCCCGGGACAGCACCCGCACATCCCCGGGGCAGCACCGGCACATCCCCGAGGAGCACCGGCACATCCCCGGGACAGCACCCGCACATCCCCGGGGCAGCACCCGCACATCCCCGAGATAGCACCCGCACATCCCCGAGATAGCACCCGCACATCCCCGGAACAGCACCGGCAAATCCCCGGGACAGCACCCGCACATCCCCGGGACAGCACCCGCACATCCCCGGAGCAGCCAGGGCCCCAGGGGGGTCTGTTTGTCTCCTGCTGTCCCCCGGGACACGGCAATGAGGCACACGTGGCATTTGGCTGCACCTCACTGGAGATCCCCTCTCTATTCCAGAGTGGTGTCAGGGCATTTGCTGGCCAGACCCGGTGCCCATTTTGCCTGTGGCAGATCCCCAGATGTGCCCTCTGTGCCTCAGCTGGCCCTGGCCTGCCCCAAGGCTGTGAGACCACAGTCTCACACAGTGCCCGAGCACGCCACCCTGCTCTGCCCTGGCTGGGGACAGGAACTCCTCTGGGCACCCAGGGCTGGCTGCCACCCTGGGATGTGCGGTCAGACACCGCGGGCTGCAGCTCAGACTGAGCCAAGGGAAGTCGGGTGGCAGCCGGGGCTGGCACCGGGGAGTTCAGCGGCTGCTGGTTTAGAGCTGGGCACTGAGCACTGGAGTGAGGGGTCTGGCTGCTCGAGAGACACCGGGAGTGCTGGGGGTCTGCAGGACACCCTGAGCCGGCAGCAGAGCCCCCTCCTTCCCTCCCTCCCTCCGCAGCAGAGCCGGGACAGCCCCTGCATGGCAGCCCTGGCCAGACAGCGGCCCCGGGCTGTTGCAGCCGTTTCCGGCATTGTGCAAGAGAGTGGTTACTGAAACGCGGTGACAGGGAAAGGAGGGGCAGTGAGAGCGGAGCGCGGCTGGAGCGGGACATCCCCGAGGGCTGCGGGGCTGCCCCGCTGCGGGTGGGGGTCAGGCTGGGCCGGGTCACGCGTGCTGCGGTCACCAGGGTCAGCATCGGGTGCGGGACAGGAGGGGACAGGCCAGAGCTGGGGCTGGTGGCGCTGCAAGAGGGAATGGAGGGGAAATACAGCAGCCACAGGGTGAACCACTGCCTTCCTGGGACTGTGACACCCTGGGGAGGCTGGCAGGGGGCAGGAGCAGCCGTGACTGCACCGACTGCACACATACAGCAAAACCTGCCCCAATTCCCTGTGTGAGCTCGTCAGTGGGAGCAGAGGCAGTGTCCCCACCCTGCGTGAGCCCATCCAGAGCCTGCTGAGCTCATGTTTATGTCATGGCTGGTGCATTTGCCTGCTGAAGCTGGATCTGAGGCCCCTCGTGCATTTTGGGACGCCTGTGAAAGCCGCTTGACCTGTGAGGACACTCCCTCCCTGCTGCTGAAGCCCCCTCAGAGGAATCAAGCGGGGTCCAGGCAGGAACCGCGCTCCCCCAGCCTGCCAGGGCTTCCTGCAGCTCAGCAAAAGCCGCGATAATCCTCTCCCAGCCCGGCCTGCGCTGGGGTCTCTGCCACTGAGAGGCTCAGCAGGCTCCGAGCTCTGGGTTCCACCAGTCTGGGGACGTCCCAGCCAGGTCTGCAGCCCTCCGTGCTCTCGCCTATCCCAGAGCCATGCAGAGCCTCTCCCAGCCCCACTCGATTCCTGTGGGGTCGCTGCTGCCTGCCCGGGCCGGGCTGGCTGAGTCCTGTCCGGCTCCAGCGGCTGGTGCTGGGAACAAAGCATCCGGGAGGAAACACGAGCGATGGTTCCACCGATAAACTCAGCTCTTCTGGCCGCTGGCGGCTGTGGGCAGCCGGGCTCCGGGCACAGCCGGGCAGCACTGCCCGGGCAGCCTCTTGCGGCCACTCGGAGGAGCTGAGCCAGGCCAAGGAGTTTGGGGACAGCATGGAGTCCTAAAGGAGCTGGGATGTGGAATTGGGATGTAGGGGGACGTGGGAGCAAGGGCGTGGGCGTGGGGATGCAGCGGGATGTGGGAACCAGGAGCTGGGTATGGAGATGTCCGGGTAGGTGGGGACTGGGAGGGAAACGAGGGAACCTGGGGTTCCTGGGAGAGGCACGGACCGGGGCAGGGCTGGGGATGCAGGGGTGGCCAAGCGGATCAGGGGAGGGGAGCGCAGCCGGGGCAGTCCCCGGCGGGCCGGGCTGTCGGAGGCGGCCCCGTCCCGTCCCGTCCCGTCCCGTCGGGGGCGGGAGGCAGCGCGGCGGGGGCGGGGGCGGCGGGGCCGCGCCGGGTGCGACGCGGGACGCGGCGGAGCTGCCTCTCGCCATGGGCGGTGGGTGCCGGGCCCGGGCCCCGCCGGCCGCGGGGCTTCGGCTGCTGCTCGCCCACGCCGTGCTGCTCTGCGCCGCCGGGAGCGCCGCCGGCACCGGCTCCGGTACGCGGGGCGGGACCGCACCGGGAGGGAGGGAGGGAGGGAGGGAGACGCGGGGGAGTCGGTACCGGTGGAGCGGCGACATCCCGAACAGGGGACATTCGGCACCGGGGGGGCGAGGGGACCTGGTCCCGCAGGGTCCAGTGCCGGGAGTCCCGGGGAAGCGGGGAGCGCTGCGGGGAGGGCGCTGCGGGACCGGGCCGCGGTCCGGCGGGTCCCGGCGGGATCGCACTCGCCGCCCCCGGCTCGTCCTCGCCCGCCGGTGCCCTCCGTGTCCGGGGCGGAGGGCAGGCAGGGTGGGCAGGGGCGGCTGGCAGGAGCCCCACGACCACCGCCCGGGTCAGGGTGCCCGCAGGTTGCGGCCCGTCACGCCCGGCTGGGAGCAGAAGCGCCCTGGTGGAACAAACTTCCCCCGTCCGCCTCCCGCAGGGACCACACGCAGGGCCCGGGGGAGACATCGCTGGCCCGAGGCGGCCGGGGACGCACGACAGGGCTGGATCCCCGCCAAGACCGCGGCCACCCCGCGCCGGCCCCGGCACCCGGCTGAGGGGCAGTGCCCGGCCGCTTCCTGCAGCCTCCCGGCCGGGACGGAGCTCCTCCAAGGAGAGGGGGACAATGCCCGTGCGTGCTGGCAGCCAGGGCCCTGCCGCTGTCCCCAAATGCACGGCTGGTGACGCTGCAGCTGGGAGCGAGGATGGAGGGCTGGGAGCAGCAGGGGCGGCTCTGGTGGCCTCAGCCATCGTTTCCTTCCCAGCACCACGTGCTGCCCAACCGCAGGCTCACCAGGAGATGGTGAGGAATAATGCTGACTATGGCAGGCACCCATGGAGCGTGTGGTTAAATAAAACCCTTTCTCAAACCCATGGCCAGCTCTGCAGGGGACTCCAGGAGCTGGGGTGTGACCCAGCCGGGTGACAGGTCCAGCCACCAGAAACAGTGGGGCTGGGTGAGCCCAATGCTGAGTGACCTCAGCGTGGCTGGGGAGGCGGCAGGCACCCCACTGCAGGGCACATCAGCCACATCTGCTGAAAGGAGAGTCCCCAGGGGATGGATCTGGCTGTCCCTGGCTGGGCTGGACCACAGGTGGTAGGGACAGGCAAGGGACAGCCTCTGCTCTGCTCCTTCTCCAGCTTGGCCATCTCTTTACAAGTGTTTTATCTTCCTGAGAAGTTCCTCTGGGAGCTGAGGACAGCTGGGCCAGCATCTGTGTGTCCTGCTTACCACAGGACATGCTGAGGACCCACGTGCCTGAAGCAGCTGGGACGGATGCAACACTGGAATGGTGCAGCCCTGGAGCTGACTGCTGCACAGCACAATCAAAGCAAATTTCATTATGTGGGGGGGAAAAAATACCTGCAATACATGATGTACAGGAAAAGACGGCTTTTTTCCAAGCCCTAATTAGCGAGGGAGATATCTGATTGAGAAATTAGGGGAACTGTGCTGTGCCCCGAGGTGCTGTCAGCAGAGTGTCTGGGCTCTGCTCCTCCCCAGCGTTGCACCAGGAGGACCACAGCCTAATCTAGTCCTCGGATCTGCTCTTAAAGACCAAATAACAGGATGTTGGGCTGAGGCTGAGATCTCCTGCTCACTTTATATTTGCTGCTCAGAGCACTTTACTTGACTCCTCACTGGCTGCACCTTGGCTCTGAGCCTTGGTGTTTGTTCTCTGTAGACTTTTCCTCTGGCTGTGAGCAGAGCCAGGCTGGTCCCAAGGTGTTTCTCAGTTTTCCCTGCAGATATTGCCCTTGGCTGCTAACTTGCCTTCAGGGGTGTAGTTTTGTTCAAGCATTCTTGCAAAGTAAACCTGACTGTCCTCTGAGCAGCCATTGCACAACTCAGGCTGCCAGACAGGAGCAGTGGCAGCACCCCAACATCGCCGTGTGCCCGAGCCCCAGCCACGGGGCAGGTGGGGCACAGGCCCTGCTGTGTGGAGGCAGGGGGGCACCTCTGCAAGAGCTGCTTTGCATTCATGGCTGTTTCCATTGCCTGTGGTCTGCATCTCCTCCAAGCACATCCCCCTCTGCAGTGGGGCTCACAGAGAGCCAGCCCGGGCTGCAGAGCGAAGCCAGAGAGCCCTGGGGCTGTGTCACCCCTCCAGCCCATCCCGGGCAGGCAGCCTGGCTCAGGTGCAGGGGGAGGATCACTGAGCCCTCGTGGAACACAGCTGTGGGCCTGGCACGCTGCTCCTGCTCATGGTGCTGCCAGAAGTGGTTGCAGATGACAATCTGGCTGTGGTGTGTGTGCTGTGAATAGTTCGTGGGCCCGAGAAACCTTCCAGGATCAGACAAACAAGTGCGTAAGCATTCCACGGTCTCCAAAGCCTGCGGCAGCTCAGCCAGGTCCCATGGAACGAGCCTGGCTCCATCCCGGCCATGATTCACCCCAGGTTGCTTTGGCTGCGGTTTGTGGAACGGATGTTGTCCCCAAATCTGGCATTTTTCAGCGGTGATGGAGCGAGTGCACCGGCCCTGCCGGCACGAAGGGGCCGCGCTCCCGCTGCAGGGCCTTTCCCATACCTGGAGCCGTCCTGGCAAGGCCAGCGCAGGATTCCTGGCCGGGGTGTGGAGAGGCACGGAGCTGCTGCACAGGGAGGCTCCTCAGGATGTGATGGGGCTGGTGTCGCGGGCCAGGACACGCTCCAGCCCCTTCCCACCCTTTTGGCTGGAACACGCTGCTCCCACCCCGCCTCGGGGACCCGGCGGCGGCACTGACACTGCAGTGAACCGTGGGAGGCGCGGCCCGGCCCGGCCCGGCCCGGCCCGGCCCGGCCCGGCCCGGCACAGCACGGCACGGCACGGCACAGCCCGGCACGCCGCCAAACCCGCCTCGGAGGAGGGCTCGGCACGACTGCACTGCTCGCACCGGGGAGGGCCCCGGCCGAGCGAACTTCTCCTGACTCCCCATATCAGCTGGAGACACGGGGCAGGACTCGACCTGCTGTGCCGGAGCATCCTCCCAGCCCACAGGAGCCCGGCTTCCCCCGGGCTGCAGCGGGCACGGCACGGGGCTGCTCGTCAGGGCTTTCACCGGGTCTGCAGTAGAGCCAAGTGTGGAGCTACCGGCGTGGGAATAGCCCAGAGGATGCTCCAGCTGCGCTGCAACACCTCCCCCTTTCCAAAAATTCCCATCTTGCAAAAATCTGAACGGGTGGTCTGACCTTAATTTGTCTGAGATAAATAAGATCCTGCCTGCTGCCTCCCGTCTGGAGACATGAAAAGATCCAAGATGAAAGGGAGCCTGACGGAAGTGCTGGGAGCTGAGCACGTCTTTGCAAGTCGGGCCTTGTGTGCCAGGAGGGATTTGGGACAACAGGGCTGAGCACAGCCCGGCAGAGCTGCTGGCTGAGCCCCGGGCTCCCTGCCCTGCCCCGAGCATGTGCCTGCTGGGACACCGAGCAACTTCACAAAATTACCTTTATTTTCCAAAGATGTTAATTTTTAGCTGCAAATTCCTATGGAAAAAATGTGGTTTCTGTTCTGCATGCCCATTCCACCACCCCAGCAATGTTCCCAAATTCCTGAAGAACCTGAAGCGGGTCTGGCAGGGATCTGGTGAGCTCATGAGCCACATGGAGCAGCTGATGGGCTCAGGAGACCTTCCTCCATCAGCTGTGGCACTGGGCACCCTGGCAGTGGCTGTCAGTCTCCTCAGCACTCGGGGTGTGCTGCCTGTCCCCCATTCCTGCAGCCAGCAGCTCCAGAGCTGGGCACTGCCTTGGTGGCACCTTGTCCATGAGTGCTGTGTGCCCTGGTGGGGCTGGTGGCCTCCAGTGTGCTCTGACAAAGCCAGGAGTGCAGCCAGCTCTGGGCTTTAGGCACTTCCCTCCTGGCACAAAGGCTCTGTCCAGACCTGGCTTGGTGAGTTGAGAATGCCACTGGTGAGGATTCCAGGAGGCAGCAGTGACAGAGAACATCCCAATTTCCAGAGCACTCCTTTGGCTGATGGAAGGCAGAGGAGTCTCTGGCCACCCTGGATGGTGTTTCTCTATCCCCTGAGGTTTGCTGCTCTTGGAGGGGCTGTGGATGGTGGAGTTACAAGGATCTTCCTGCTCCAGGGCAGCCCGGAGAGGCTTGGTGGGGATGGAGCTGCTCAGCATGGGAGCTGCTCTGTGCCAGAGGGTCTCCCTGTCCCACACGATCCCACAGCCTGGGAAGGGCTGCAAGGGGCCTTATCTCGTCCCTGCAGGCTGGGCATGAAGGTGGTGGAGGAAGGGGCCGGGCGGGAGCTGGGAGTGAGCCATGAGAGGCCCTTTCCATCCGCTGGGGGCGGTGGGGCTGAGGGGCCCTGCCAAAGCAAACGGCCCTGACAATGGCTGTTGTTATTAGCACAGTGGCTGTTTGCATGGCTTTAGCCCGGGCTGGGGCTCCGGGGGCACAGCAGCCCCCAGGCACAGGGCAGGGCTTGGCTCCTGCACCTCCTCTCCTGGACCCGCTGGGCTGGCTCTGAGGCACTGTCCCCCCTTGAGGAGCAGGGAGCCAGCAGATGCAGCGATGTGCTGGCTGGATGGTGATGTCTCTCTCTCTCTCTTCCCCTGCAGTGAATCCCTGTTGCTATTTCCCCTGCCAGAACCAAGGGGTGTGTGTGAGGGTCGGCCTGAGAGGATACGAGTGCGACTGCACCCGGACCGGGTACTACGGGGCCAACTGCAGCTCCCGTGAGTCCCTGTCCCCAGGATCTGCCAGGGCAGCCCTGTCCCCACAGCACTCACTGCTCTGGGTGGGCTGGCTCCTCAGCAGGGAGAGTGACTGCTCTGTTTCCCCCAGCTGAGTTCTGGACACGTCTCCACAACCTGCTGAAGCCCAGTCCTGCCTTCTACCACTTCATCCTGACCCACTTCAAGTGGTTTTGGGACATTATCAACAGCACCTTCATCAGGGACACGCTCATGAGGCTCGTGCTGACAGGTGAGGGGTTGGAGAGGGTTGGGGTTCAGCAGGACTCGAGGACCCCCTGGCATGCACAGATGTGTGGGTGGGGATAGCAGGGCTGCAGCGATGCTGAGCAACTCCTGTGAGCAGGGTGGGCATTGGGCTGGAGTCACCTCAGCAGGAGACCCAGAAGGTTGTCACCCTGTCCTTCCATCACCCTGTCACACTGTCACTGTGCCCGGGGGAGCTGCCCAGCCAGGTTGCAATGGGGTGTAGGGGGTCCCCAGCACTGTGCCAAGCTGCCAGCTGGCTGGAAAACACGAGCAGTTCTTGGCATGCTGCACTCCCCAGGCCAAGGAGCTGTTTCACAGCTGCACAGAAAGCAGCCCGTGGAAATATGGCCCTTGTTACTCATGTCTCCATATTCATCACTTTGCATAAATATTTAGGTTCCAGCTCTTGGAGCCGTAGCGACACGCTTGCAAGGCTCCGGCTGTTGGCTTCACCATTTCTAAGGGTTTGTCATCTCATCCATCATCCAAGGATCCACTTAGCACATTAGCACGAGCCCTCCTTTCCTGCAGGGAATTGCAGCCTTTAAAAGGCTCGGAGCAAAGCCCAGGACACCCACATGCCTCCACTGCTGGTACCTTTCTGGTTTTTGGGGTGCCAGGGGCTGTCTGGCAGCACAGAGCGGGCGGGCAGGGACCAGGGCCAGAGCCTGTGGGTTGCTGCCTCAAGCTCCACAGTGGTGATCCCCCTCTCTCCTTTCAGTTCGTGCCAATCTCATCCCCAGCCCCCCCACTTTCAACTCTGACTATGGCTACATCAGCTGGGAGGCCTATGCCAATGTCAGCTACTACACCCGCGTCCTGCCGCCCGTGCCGGACGACTGCCCCACGCCCATGGGCACCAAAGGTACGTGGCTGCTCCGGGGCACCCACACCCTGAGTGTTTCCCACCCAGCCATGGCCAAGCTTTGGCTGCCATGGACACTTCTGCAAAGCACCACTGGCAGTGCCACGTGCTACCCCTGTCCTGCCCAGACTGGCTCTGCTGCAGGAGATTGATGACATCTGGATTGCTGCTGGGACAGCTCAGGCTGAGCTGCTGGGACATGTCACAGCCTGTGTGAGAGGGCTGCAAGGTCCTTGTGCAGATGAGTCTGTGCCTGATGCTGCAGCAGACACCACCAGCAGCCCTGCAGACAGCACCAGTACCTGCCTGGGTTGGCATTGGGCAACTTCCCTCAACCTCCATCCTTTGCAGGGAAGCTGCAGCTCCCTGACCCCCAGCTCCTGGCAGAGAGGTTCCTGCTGCGGCACAAGTTTGAGGCTGATCCCCGAGGCACCAACATGATGTTTGCCTTCTTTGCCCAGCATTTCACCCACCAGTTCTTCAAGACATCTGGGAAGATGGGACGTGGCTTCACCAAGGCTCTGGGACATGGGGTGAGGGCAGCAGGAGTGAGGGGCTGTTGGGGTCCCTGTGCCTCTCAGAGCAACCTTGATGCCCTGTTCTCTCCACAGGTGGACCTGGGGCATTTGTACGGGGACAACCTGCAGCGGCAGCACCAGCTGCGACTCTTCCGAGATGGGAAGCTGAAATTCCAGGTACCACCCAGCACAACTGAAACACATCCCAGTCCCGTGAGCCAGGGCTGTTTGAAGCCCATGTTCCTCTGGCACCTCTTGGCAGACCCCAACCCTGATGCTGGCCGGGGGACAATCTTTGGGGTGCAGCTGCTCTGATGGCAGCAGGCACTTGGGGCTCTATGAGGGAGGCGTTTCCATTCCACTCACCTCTTGCAGGAGAGCAATGCGGTGCCCTTGGCTGGGCAGGCTTTTCCTGGGATGTGTTTGTCCCCTCCCCTTTCTGCCCTGTGGCTGCTGTGTCCCCAGGTGGTGGATGGCGAGGTGTACCCGCCCACGGTCAGCGAGGCCCCGGTGCACATGGTGTACCCGTCGGGCGTGCCCCGGGAGCGGCAGCTGGCGGTGGGGCAGGAGGTGTTCGGGCTGCTGCCGGGGCTCTGCGTGTACGCCACGCTCTGGCTGCGAGAGCACAACCGCGTCTGCGACCTGCTCAAGCGGGACCACCCCACCTGGAGCGACGAGCAGCTCTTCCAGACGGCGCGGCTCATCCTCATCGGTGAGGAGCTGCCCCCGCCCTGTCCCAGCCCCTGGGCGGCCCCCAAGGACTCACAGGCTGGCCAGCATCTTCTGGGGGTAATGGTCAAACTGCCTTTGAGGCAGCTCCTCTGGCATCCTTCTGGGAATTGCTTGTTTTGGTCCATATAGCAAAAAAATTGGCTTTGGTCCATCCAAAATGGTCAGGAGGAGGTGGATGGTTGCTGTGGTAGATGTGGGTAACATCTCAGGTGCAGAGCTGGTGGCTCCTGCTGCTGCCAGCTGCTTCTTTTCTGCTGCCCAGGGGAGACCATTAAGATCGTTGTTGAGGACTACGTGCAGCACCTCAGTGGGTACTACCTGAGCCTCAAGTTCGACCCCGAGCTGTTGTTTGGGTCCCAGTTCCAGTACCGGAATCGCATCGCCGTGGAGTTCAACCAGCTCTATCACTGGCACGGGCTGATGCCTGACTCCTTCATCATCCAGGGACAAGAGTACAGCTACAAGCAGTTCCTCTACAACACCTCCATGCTCATGGACTACGGCGTGGAGGCGCTGGTGGAGTCCTTTTCCAAGCAGGTTGCAGGAAGGGTAAGGTCCTGCTCTGCCCTCTCCGGGAGGGACACGCATGCAGTGGTGCCACACCGAGTCTGCCCAGGGCAGCAGCCCATGGGCACATCAGGAATCATCAGGAGTCCTCCCCACCCGCACCATGGTGAGGCTGGCCCTGGCAGCCCCAGCTGCTTGCCCTGGTTGCTCTGTAGTAAACACTCCGGTGATGCCAGAGCCTGTGGAAGCCGGGATGCCCCCACCCGGCTGCAGAGCCGCGGGGCCTGGAGCAGCGCCTGGCACTGTTCTTTGCTGCCATCGCATGGATGTTTTCTACCAAGCGATTGCAGCTCCATTCCTCACTCTCTTTGCCTGTGACAAGCAGCCCAGCTGAGGCTGAGGCCCTTTGGGCATTTGGGTTCTCCCAGTGAGCCTGAAATCTCTCTCATCCTCCTCACTGGGTCACTGTCCATCGGGGACTTCCTCTGCCCTGTGCCCTGCCCTGGGAGCAGGGCTGGCCGGACCAAGCTGCTCCACAGTTGGTTTTTGCACTGCCCACCCTCCTCTTGCTCTGCAGTGATGTGTTGGTGTCACAGCCTGAGCCCAGGGTGCTTTAGTGTGGTGGCCCTCTGGGGCTGATGCTGGTGTGCCTGATGTGTGCTCCTCCTTGTCTCTGCCCTGCAGATCGGTGGGGGACAGACCATCAATGCCAATGTCCTGCACGTGGCCGTTGGGGTCATCAAGGAGTCCCGGCAGCTGAGGCTGCAGCCCTTCAACGAGTACCGGAAAAGGTTTGGCATGAAGCCCTACAGGTCCTTCCAGGAGCTGACAGGTAGGGCTGCACTGCTGCTCCTGGGGCTTTGCTGGGCCGGGGCAGGGGCTCTGTGCCTGTGGGTGAGTACCAGGCCATGAGCTGCCCCTCTGCCACTGGGCTTGGAGCAGCCACCCCTGCCCATCCCAGCCCTGCCTGCTCATGGCCCCACAGTGGGGCAGACTGATGCAGGGGTGTCAGGGGATGCAGGGTCCTTCCTCCTGGGGTCCCTGGCCTGGAAGTCAGGCTTGCCACTGCCTGTGAGGGAGCCACCCTCCCCTTGCCCAGTGCCAGGCCAGTCCTTGCCAGGTGTGATTCTCTTGCTAAAGCACTCTGATCTTCACTTGGTGCAGGAGAGGAAGAGAAGGCAGCAGAGCTGGAAGAGCTGTATGGAGATATTGATGCTCTGGAGTTTTACCCAGGCTTGCTGCTGGAGAAACCCCAACCCAATGGCATTTTTGGGGAAAGCATGGTGGAGATCGGAGCTCCATTTTCCCTGAAGGGGCTTTTTGGAAACCCCATCTGCTCCCCAGAGTACTGGAAACCCAGTACATTTGGTGGAACAACTGGCTTTGAGATCGTGAAGACGGCATCCCTGGAGAAGCTCGTGTGCCTCAATGTGAAGAAGTGCCCGTACGTGGCGTTCCACGTGCCTGACGCTGCAGAGCACGGCGGCCCTCGGGCTGCTGGATCCTCTACAGAGCTCTAGCAGGGCTGACCTGCCCAGGTAGGGACTGTCCTTGGCCTGCTGCAGGCTGAGCTGAGCTCCCAGCCCGGTGCTGAGGATGCTGTTCCTTCCTACAGCGAATGGTGGGCATGCAGGAACCTGCTGCCCCTGTGCCTGCCCAGCACACGTGCACAGCTGGGAGAAGGAACCAAAGCAGTCTCTCCTGGAGGAGACCAGAGAGAAGCATGAGGTCAGATCTCCAGACCTCCTGTGTCGTGCTGGCTTGGACCCTGGCACGTGCCACTGGCTGCCAACCCGGGGCTGCTCCGAGCAAGATGCTACCTCTGTGCACACAAAGGGATGGAGTCTCTTCCATCCCAAAATCATCACCCTTCTCTGCACTAACAGCTCAGCAAACACATCCTCACAGCACACAGAGCCTGCTTCTGTCCTCCTCCCCAAACAGAGCTCAGCCCTTGCCCAGCCCAGCCACGTGGTAGCTGGCAACCATTGTCACTGGCCTTGATCCCCATCAGATCCTGGTTAAGCTCCAGGAAAAAGGAAATTTAAAATAATAAATGATTAAAAAAACTCCTCTATTTGTGGCTGTGCCCACCAGCACTGTGCTGGGCCATTGCTGACTGCACCTGAAGCAATAAATGGAGCAACTTCTCCCTTAGAAGCTTCCATGGGGGTCCCTGAGTGTCCTGAGGCAGTTTGAACTTTGCTCCCCTCTGGCCACCTCCCAGCCCTGTGCTGCTCAAATGCCACAATTCAGTGTTTGGACACTGCTCTCAGGCACAGGGTGGGATTGTTGGGGTTGTCCTGGGCAGGGCCAGGGGTTGGACTGTGATAATGTTTTGGGTCCCTTCCACAATTCAGGATATTCTGTACTTCCATGGTGACACTGCTTAGACCACCATTGTGTATTTCTCTCACATAAAAACTATCCACACACCAATCTGGCTGCCTGGGTGTTTTGTAGACATGAAATAGCCACAGTCTGTAAGAGAGCATGCAGCTGCAGCTCCTTCCTCTGCTGTCCTGGAGGAGGGGAGCACTCCTGAGCCTCTGCTCCATCCCAGCAGCATTCCCAGGGAGGTGCTACAGGAATTTTAAATTAGGGAGGTTTAAAAGGCTGGTGCCTTGGCTGGGATGTGGTAGGAGAAGTCATAGCAAGGGAACATGTGCAAGCAGAGACTCCCAAGGCATGAGCCTTCTCACTCACTCTCTTTAACCCTTCAGAAATGGGACAGCACTACCAGGATAGCATCTGGATTTCAGTTTCCTGGGGGATGTGGGGAGCCAGAGAGGCCAGCAAGACCCCGAAGGCACAGCAGGCAGCTTCACCTGCTCTGTGCTCCCCTGGCACACGGACAGCCCAGTGCTTCCAGTCGCACTGTGCCGTGCAGAAGGGCTGAGCAGCAACGCGAGAGGAGGACACGGTCAGTCCTTCCCCGGGCACGCCCCCAGCCAGCCGCTTCCAGCTGTGCTTCCAGCTGTGCTCGTGACCGCCCTCCCCGGCAGGGAGCCGCTCCAGCCCCCAGCATCCTTCCCTGACATCTGGCGACAGGCACAAGCTCGGCTCGCTTCAGTTAAACCACAAACATCCTGCGTTTGCTCGTGGCTATCGGGGCTGCCAGCGCTGCTTTGGGACGGCTGATAACGGCACGAGAGCCCCGGGGCACAGGGAGAGCGGCCGAGCTGCTCTGGGCCAAGGAGGAACGCGCCCCTGGGCACGCCTGGCACGGCCTGGCTGCTCCCTGCCACCAAGGAGGAATGTTCCACTGGGACAGCCTGGCTGAGCCACAGCTGGCAAACCTGGCACCTCTTCCAACCAGGCCAGGACAGCAAAGCATCTCCCTCCTGCCAGCAGGAGAAGCTTTGAAATCGTTTCTCTGAAGGACCAACATGTACCAGCCCCAGGCACAGCATCCAACACACTACTGAAACCTCCCCCAGGAGCCCAGGCACCCACGGCCCTGCACACAGAGCTTCCCCCAGCCCAGCACTGCTGAGCTCTTGTTTTCTGTGCTGGTTCTCCAGCCATGGCAGTTGCAGAAATCGCTCCCACTGTCACCAAGGTACAGCCACATCCAAGGCAGTGTTTGCACCCACACATGGTGGTGTTTGGTGTGGCCACCAGCACCACCAACCATGGCAGGGGCTCCCTGCTGTGCTCTGGAGAGGAGAGCGCTGCCAGAAGTGCCCTCTGTTTGAGCTCTTGGTAAACACAGCTGGTGGACATGCTCTGTGTTTTTAAACATCCCTCTGGGAGCCCAGCTGTGGCTTGCCTGCGGTGGGGATGGACAGGGACAGCAGGATGGGGCTGCCTGGGTTCCTGCAGCAACAATGAAAACACGCATCTGGGCTTGTGTGGCCTCAGAGGCAATGATTCACTGAGCAGGAGGAGAAAAGCAACCCCTCCTTGGAGGGAGTCTCCAGACTCTCCCAGCCCTCCCCAGCAGGCCCCCCTGCCACAGGATCAGGCCAGTGACTGCACAGGAAACCTTGTTTGGATTTTCAGCAAAGGCATATTTTGAACATTTTACAAAGAAGAGGCAGATGGGAGGCCAGAAGAACTCAGTGTGATCTTTTCTTAGCTGAATTTTGTCCTGCACTGCCTGGCAGCCATGCTGGCCCCACAATTAAATGTCCATGTTGAACTTACCCTGGGATTTCATTCCTGCCCTTGCCAAGCAACCATCCGTGCTTCCTTGTGCCCTCGCATTCCGTGCCCAAGCTCTGCTGTTTGTATTGGAACATCTTTAACTGTGAGCAAAGCCAGGTGAGGGCCTGTAACACCCACCAGTCCTGGCTGCCTCCCTGCACTGCACCGCTCCTTCCAAAACAGAACATTTCCCAGAGGCTGCACACCTACATGACAAGTGCTTTTTCAACTCCTATTTATAGATCTCCTTGAAAATTCAGCTTCAAGGAAGGGCAAAAAGCAGCAGCAGCAGCTTTTTCCCAGCTCAGCCTCCTCTCCCTGCTCACAGCTGTGCATGAGCCTGTGCATGAACGAGCAGCAGGCACAGCTCCTCTCCCCTCACTCCCTTGTGCTTGTTATATTCTTCCACATCAATGATCAATTGGATTCACACCTTTTTTCTTCTCCTTTTTGCTGCTGGCACTGCAAACCACCTGTCCCCTACCTGAGCACAGGAGGTTCCTCACCAGGAGTCACCTTGCTCCAGGCCATTGGACACAGAGCAGCAGGGGAGGGTTTGATCCTGTTACAGTTTTGCTGCCATAGGGGGCAAAAAAAAAAGCACTTTATAAAAATAAAAACTTCAAAGCGACTCAAGCAGACAGCTCTGCCTTGATCCTCTCTCCAAGACAGGTTTTGTGATGATGCTAAAATGCACCTTGTCTGCACAACAGACTTCACTGAATCTCACCCTGGATATGAGTTACAGTTGCTTTGATATTTTCCTTAAATGTGCTGATATCCACACTCAGTGATTTAATTCCATATATCTTACATAGGGTTTTTTTCTGCAATTCTCACGAAAAGAAATAATCTCTCACCACATTTGAAAACCTGGATTTCTGCCAGTTTCCTTAAAACAGCTACAATCTGTGCCAACTCAGTCACTTTAAACTACAGATTATTTATTTTTCTGCTTATACTACTTTTAAAAAGACAGCTCAAATAGATACAGTTAGAAATTATTTTTTTTTCTAGCCCAAGATCCATTCTTATTAAGATCCTATTAGGATTCACAGACACATTTGCAATTCTTCCTGGTGTTCCAAAGTGCTTTACATAAAAAATGCAATTAAATTTAATCATTAAACATGGCATTACATTGGGTCATGTATTTAGGTAATGATAGTCTACTTCTACTACTGAAGGCAGACAGAAAAGAACTTTACCATTGATTTAGTAATTTTAGCATGGGATGAAATTCTGAGGTTATTCAAGTCCTAATTCTGCATTTTGCCAACAAGATTCTCCTTGCTGCTGTTCAGCACACACGTTGGAGCTCTTTGCAGCAGGCAGTCTCTCTGAAGAGGCAGAGCTCATTTTCTGATCAAGTGACTACAAGGAACTCCAAGGATGGGTTTTAGAACCCAAGAATGTATTAAGAGCTGTAATTGCATTTATGTCTCAGGGAAGGTTAAGGGAAGAAAAGCAATTTTCAGGATGAAGCCGGGGGTTGTTGTTATTTGTAATTGAGAAAGGAACAAAAATTTAAGGCCAAGTGTTAGAACAAGATTCTCCCAGGAAGGAGACTGCAAACTGTGGAATGGAACATGGGACCTCACACTTTTAACTGGTGCAGTTCAGCACCAGATTATTAAGTCTTGAATGTTAAAAACTATTTTATTTGCAGTCTCAGTTCTTATCTTAGGGAGTTGGTGGCCACATCTCAATTGAAATGTGCAAGGATGCTGAGACATTGCAACAGACAATTTCCTAAACTGACTGAATCATGTTAGAACTTTGTGTTAAGTAAAACACATTTGAAATGAGACTGTTTTAGTTGTAGATATGGAATTAATTTAAGAAAATGTTAGGAATTTGTTGTTATTTTTAATGAGCAGAAGTCAAAGTGCATGAAGGGGAGGAATACATACCCACACGATGGAGGAGAGAGAACAATCCCTAGCACAAGAACATCCCACAGCACAACTACACCTACGGGCCCTTGGCACAAAGGGCTCAGTCTATTTCCAGATCACTGTCTTCACTGTAACATGCAGATGGATTATGTATAGAAGTCAGAAGCAGTAGGTCTTTTTCTGGCAGCAAGCCACACTCCTGCAGAAAAGCCTCCAGGTCTACAGCAAAAAAATCTTCTCCCAGCTGGTCGGTGATGCGCACGAAGTTGCCAATGAGCTCCCCTGCCTTGTAGACCAGCAGGGCTGGCAGGGCATTGTTAGTGAAGCGAGTGCTGGCACCAATGAGTGAACTCTTCACTCTGCAGAATTTCACTGTTGGGTACTCAGCAGCCAGGCAGATCATGCAGCCATTCAGGGATTCAGTGCCAGGGATATCGTCTTCGTAAATATGGATCATGATCAGTGTGCTCTTATGCTCTTTGTCCACGGTGTCCAGAAATGCTTCCCCACTGGTGATCTCAAACACCTGCTTGAATTGCTGCCCACTGTACAACTGCTGCCTCATCTCCTCCATCCGCTGCTTCCTGTAGCGCTGCAAGAACTCCTCATCGTCCTCATCATTGTGGATCATGTTGTATTCCTGTAAAGTCATCTAAAAAACACACAGGGATTCCTGAAAAACATCTGCACCACTATATGGGTCACTTACATAATGAGAACATAAATCAAGAGGATTAATGTGGGTCACTCATCTTTAATAACAGCAAAGTGCAACCCATGAAGGCTCAAGCACCCTGTGTATTACACTCCATTCTGATCTAATTAGAAACCATGTCCAGGGGGAACAGCGATTTCAGCCCTGGGTATTCCAGTTTCCACAAGCTGCACTAATAACACAAGTGGCTGCTCCATGCTCCCACTTTAATCCAGGTTAATGGTGGCCATGTGCTTCTACCGAGCTGGGAGTGCTGATTTGGAAACTGTGCCTGACCTCAGATGAGCTTCTTTCTCATCAGCTTTTCATTTAGTTTTTCAGTTAACATTTGTGGCACCATTGTGCCTGTAGAATTGAAATTACCAGGATTTTATGTATTTTATACCTGTTCACTTGCTTCATTAAACTTATCTGCATCACTCAAGACGCAGGAGAGCACAGCCAACTTTCATCATCTGAAGGCACAGACATGTCTGCAATTTAGTAACTTCTCTGACTACAACTCAGGGCTAGTTAACAGCCCAGCTAATTAAAACCACTCACTACATCCAATGTCTTCAACTCCTGGAGCTCAGAGTTGAAACACCCGCTTACTAAATACTAAATTAATGAGGGCTCCTAGTTTCAGGCAGGGGAGGCAGCATTCACAGTTTTGCTGTAGAACTCTTCATATTAATGCCCTGGAGGTGGTTAGATCAACAGATGAGAAATCTGGAAAAAGCTTTTGGACTTCCTTGGTATTGCAGCTAAATCACTTATTTGCTGTCACAGGCAAGCAAAACTGTTAAATACTTAAGTGGCATTTTGATTCCTTTGTGCCACCCTACCTTCCCATTGATTTTTTCCTGCAGCTCTTTCTGCTTCTGCTGCTCAGCCTCATCATCCAGGTGAGACCTGCAGGTCATGGAGAGCTTCTTGATGAGCCTCTCCATCTCCCTGCGCTGCTCCTGCCGCTGCTCTGTCTCCAGCTGCTTAAACCTGCGCCAGTCATTGATCACTCCCTTGGGACCTGCAATGAGGTGTGGAGCCATTTCGTGTGAAAAAGACAATACAATGTTGCCTATCAGTTACAATCAAGGAATAATTTGTGACCTGGTCATAAATGTTTTTGTAACTATGCAAAACATTGAAATAAGTAATTTGCCATTTGCACGTCCTTGAGTTTCTATCTACATTTTTAACAAGAAGGCTACAATTTACTTAACTAGGCTACTCTTGTAATTGTCCCAAAGATTAATGTCTGTGCTCTTGAAATAGAACCACCAGCCCACAAGAGTTCTCCTATTGTTAGCATGGCTTTCATCAGAACAAAAATAATGATATATTACTATCTGAATTGTACAAATCAGCCTTGTCTCAACTTTATATCCAAAACCTGACTGCTTCAGATATGATGCTGAATTTGAATTCTCTCATAGGAGAAGTCAAACATTAAAAAAAAAAACAGCTATTAAAAATAAAGTTAGACAACAGCCAGAAACTGATCACCCTCTGACTCAAGTATGCATAAACCCAGGAATTTCATTTCAAAAAAAGAGTTTTAGAAGAACATACAAAATTTCCAATCAACAAGGGATATACAAAAGAAGTACATTGATATGATGATACCTGTGTTGACAGCGCTGCCATCGCTGCTGAGCTCCACCTCGCCCACACTTTCTGGAATGCTGCTCTCCCCTTCTTTATCCTCCTTCTCACTGTCTTCATCCTCACCCTCGCTGCTGCTGTAATAATACTGCAGCTTCTCGCCAAGCAGTTTATCATCTGCAGTGGTCATTATGCTCTAAAAATAAGGTAACAAAAGAGAGGATGCATTTCTGATCAAACATGCATCATGATGGTCCTTTATTTCCTCAGGGCAGTTTTTAACCCCAGGAGAACACAGCCCTCAGTCACCTGGGCTAATTCTTAAGCCACAATTTAAAACTCAGTTTAAAACCTCAGAGCCTCACTGGACAGCTCCACCAGGCTGATTCCCAGCTACTATTACTTAGATTATTTAACAATTCATTTGAGCTGAAAAACTATCAATGTAATTAGGTAAATTAAAGCGTTCTGACCTGTATTCCTTTCCAGTCTTTCAGAGACAAGCTTCTACCAAGACCTGGAAGAAGAAATTTTAATCAGATCAGTTGCTGTGGGCTCACGCTCGATGGTGCAGGGGTCTCCCAGCCAGCCCAGGCCGTGTGTGTGACACAGCCCGGCTCCCGGTTCTCCTGCCCACGGACACAGCCCGGCTCCCGGTTCACCTGCCCACGGACACAGCCCGGCTCCCGGTTCACCTGCCCACGGACACAGCCCGGCTCCCGGCTCTCCTGCCCACGGACACAGCCCGGCTCCCGGTTTTCCTGCCGGACGCCGCAGGCTCCGCGGGAGCTAACCCCAGATTCAGCCGATTACAGCGCCAGATGGCCCGGGATTACCGGGACCGCCCCGCAGCGGGGCCGGGCCTGGGGCGGGACCTGGGGCCGGCTGGGGCCGGTGATCCCGCGGGCCCCGAGCGAGCCGGCTCGGCCGAGCCCCTGCCCCGCGCCCTCCCCGGGTCCCTCGGGCCGCGCCTCGGGATTCTGCGGGGCCCAGGAGCACCGGCCCGAGCGGAGCGAAGCGAAGCGGCCCCGCCGCCACCCCGGCCCGGCCCCGCTGCCGCCGCCTCACCGCTCCCGCCGCCTTCCGGGGCCGCTGCGCGGGGCACGGCGGGAAGGAGGCGGCCGGGGGAGGAGCCGGGCCCGGCCTCGCTGCCCCCGCCCCGCGACGGGAACGGGAACGGCACCGACGCCGGCACCGGCACGGCGGGACCGACCCCCAGGGAACGGCACCGGCACCGGCACGGCGGGACCGACCCCCAGGGAACGGCACCGGCACCGGCCGGGCCCCCGGCCCCGCTCCCCCCAGCCCGGAGTGGCTCCGTTCCCTCCGCTCCCCCCGGAGCTCCCCAGCCCCCGCTGACGACAAGCAGCCCGTTAAGGTGGACAAATAATTTTTATTCGTGCATGCAAATACATGTCAATACTGCAAACTTCTTCCATCGAGTCTCTCAAACACCGAACCGGGATGCTCTATCCGTGCCCAGCCAAAGCTACAACCTCTGCACGTCAGTGCTACAGCGACACACGGGCCCCGCCGGGACCCCCCTACTCTAACACGAAGGGAAACATTACCATTGGGAATCAAAACCGAAATAAACGGAATAGAATTTACTCCCCCATATATCCCCATTTCATTTTACAGATTTTTTTTTTCTTTAAATTATAGTTTTAAATAGAAGCTGAGAATGCGCCATAAAAATGAGCATTAAATCCATCGTAGCGATGGTGCCTGCTTTATACATGATGGGTGTACACCATCTTTTATTTCATTTACATTTCAATCGAACAATAGATTTGCAAAGAAAATGTCTAATACAGACGTAAAAATATTCACACTAGAGCTTCACAATCGGTTGTACAATTGACAAACAGGCCTCTTTTCCCAAACTTTCCAGCTAAGCAAATTTATAAAATGTAATCAATGCAACAAGAAAAAAAAAATTTTCTTTAAAACTTCCAGGGAAAAGAATACGCAGTAAACAGTATCAATGCGACAGCAGATGCTGCAAGCTAACCACAATACTTCGGAGTGGCTGTACAGTGGGTATGTGCAGTACAAATCAAAGCCACGTGTGTTGTATCACAACTACTGTATAATGTACTTGTTTGCCCAGCTAAGAAAACGCATGCATTCCCATGCCTTGGGTAACGGAGATCTACTCTGGAGAAATCCATGGGCTATGTGCAAATGACCTTGGCTTTTGGCAGTAAGAAACGCAGCCAGGCTCTGCTTTATTTCAGCTTTTACAGCAGAATCTTGAGTGATTAAAAGCTTCCACAAGCATCCTTAAATAAATGGGGTGTGGAATTATGTTTGGGCATTGGGCACTTAGATTATTCAGATTTGTTTCATTTCATCAGCGACAGTTTTGGGTTTTTTCCCACCCTTGTCCTGCTCCCTTGCCAGCAAAGAGATGCAGGGGGATGACTACTGCCAAAGTCAGCTGTTCGTTTATACTGGGAAATTGGGTCATTTAAAAAAGCACATTTATTGTGTTCTGCTTGCAGAAGAGGTCCCTCAATGAGAGGGAACTTCCTAACAAAGGGATTAAACTACAACATAAAAATGGACTTTTACATCCTATAGATCATCTGATCATTTCTCACTTTGTTACACTCTCAAATTCAACACCTTCCTTTAATACCAGTCTAATAATGAAAAGTCTGTTCACAAATATGATCAAGGAGCTGCTGGCATACAGTGTTTATGTACAGCAACAGGTACAACTTGACAACTTGTGCTTAAAAAAAGCAAACAAAACAAATGTTTGGAACTATTCTGAGTTTAGATTGAGTTATTTTAAGCGTTCTTTCCTCAGCTGTTTCTGACCACTGTGCATTATTTTGTACCTCATCCAGCCTAGTACACTATTATACAAGAACAGCATTCAGCTCTTGAGTACAGGAGAAATTAAAATTTCAATTGAGTTATCAAAGCACTAAAACCTTCCAAATTAGACTTCTACAAAGAGCTTAATTAAGAGGTTATTTAACATAATCAGCTGTGTGCAACTGTTTTCTTTTTCCTAAATCAAATGCCAAACTTCAGTGTCCCTGTACTAGACTACCAAGAACCAACGCCAGTTTGCTTTGCAAAGAGTCTAACCTTGCCTTTGAAGGGTCTAGTATACATTCTACAATGCAAAATCTGCATAAACACTAAGATTCATTTCTTGTCACCTGTTTACAGGAACAAAATATCAGTAGCAGGGCAATCACTCTGCTCTAAGTATATGTTAAGAATGTACAGATAGTTACTTTCTCACACAAGCATTCTCCCAGCACAAGCATTAGTCTCTTTTAAGACCTATGTGGGAAATGAGGCAAACCAAGGAATGAATCCAGGTAGTGAGGCAACACAATTAACTTAGATACTAATAATTCCTGTCTCTCTTGCATGTGAAATCCCTGCTGTACCCCTAATGGGGAAAAAAAAAAAAAATTAACCAAACCAACCCAAAATGCTTGTCCAAGCAAAGCAAAAGAGCCAATCTCTTCCCCCGATCTGCTCCGGGCCTTCTTTTCTGACAGCACAGTAAATTAGGCCAAAACCTAAATGGGCATCACTGCTATTGACACACAAAGGTAAGTCACTCTCTCAGTGTCAGAAAATAAGCCCTTCCATAGCCCAAAGGCACCTGATTTACAATTAACAAATGAATACATACTTGTTTGTAAAGGGTCACAGGCTGAAATTTCAACAAAGAAGGAATCTAGAGCCAGGTGCTCCCACCTGCAGCTCCTTCTCCCTGTCAGGGCACTGGAGGGCATCAGTTTGGTGGCAAAAACCACACAGTCAGTGTTAAAACCCTAAGACAAAGCCGACATGCTGTTAAACCCTCAAATAATTCTTTTGCCTGTCATTATAGGTTAAAAATTCAACTAGAAAACTCTAGCCTCAGTTGAGAGCCAACTTTCCACATGAAGTGCATGGTCATCCTAGAGAACTGCTCTATCACGGGACCTCCTGCTGCAGACAAGAGTCTAGAGATACACTCGTTCTTAAATATGCCAAGACCTTGGCAGGAATATGTCAGGCTTATTTCACTGGACAAACAGGCAAATGTGTGTAAGCAGCTTATCCCAACCCCCTCCAGCAGAGCACAACCAAGTTTTTAAAATTGCCATTTTAAAATTAAAAAGTTAAGGTAAATACACAATCAATTTATGTAGTATATATTCACCCTCAGATCATGCTGAAGATGTTCTGTGGAGTTCTGGTGCACAGAGGGCTCTTTCCCTGAGGGCAAATAAGGACTTCTCAAACCTTTATATTTTCTCTATTTTTGTAACAAAATAGCAATTTAAAATTTAAAAATCTTTTAAAAAAATTACATCACCTTCAACATGGAAGATCTCACTGTTTAAATATCCATGAAAGAGACATACTTGTTTGCATATCTGTTTTGGAATTACATTGTACAGCAAATAATAGTATCTCAGAAGCATTTCAAAAGTAATATAAATTCATATTTACAGAATGGTCTTGGTATAAAATATACAACAATCATATTTATGTCTAACATTCTAAGTTAAAGTTAACATCAATAGGAAATAAGTTAAGGTGACAAAGGTGGTCTGGTTCTTGTATCCATTCACTTCACGCAGCGAGTGAAAGAAGCGTCAGTCTAACCCTAGAGTGAGGTGGCACTGGCTGGAGAAGGTACAGCAACAGCCAAAGGAAACTAAGAAAAGACTACTTGACTGTTCTTCTACATACATTCCTTGACATTGGAGTATTAAATAGATGTGTAAGATCTTCCATACTGACACCAGAATATCAAAACTAACCCTTGGATTTGCAGGTATATTTACAACATAATTATTTCATGGACAGGTTCGTTAGGAGAGATATCAAACACCAATATTTACTTAGTCTAATCAGTAACCCTCAGGGAAATGCCAACCCCCACCCCCCAGAAGCGTGCACAAAACAGTTATCAAAATCTTACCCGACCACATAGCTGTGATTTTGTAAAATAACAACTCAGACGACCAGTAACATGATCCTCTTTAAGCATTTTGCTAGCAGGAAAAGCCCTTACATGCAGTACACCTGGTGAAAGATCAGCTTGGCTTAAAATATTCCAGTACAATTTTCAGAGTAAACAACTTCACAGAAGTTAATAAAAACATAAAAAAATGTAAAACTTGTCACAAAGAAAAGTAAGAGGACAAACAAGAAGATAGTAATCATCAGGAAGGAGAGTCCTGCTTTCTTAAAAGAAAAAAAAAAGTGGATTTTTAAGCTTTTCAAAAAAAATATGCCCAGGGCTCTAGTTCATGTGTATTTATGAAAACCAATTTTCAGTTGACATGTCTAACATGATTCTCAGTCACCTCTTAACAGGGCATAAATTCATACAGTTTTCAGCACTCTGAAGGTCAGATAATGCTATCTCATTGTATTTTCAAGGTCTTTGAAAATAAGTTGCCACTGAATAAACAAAAATTAAACCTGAATACAAGATTATGATTAACAACATTTAACAAAGGTAATTACAACCACCTTAAATTCCCAATATTTAGTTTAAATTAAAACAAAACAGTACAAAAAACAGCAATACCATCTTGTTAGTCAGTGCAAACACTAGATACAGGGTTTTCAAAGGAAAGCCAAGAGCACCTGATACTTTTTGCCAAGTCATCTGGATCCTATAATCTCCAAGTTGAGAACTATTAACGAAAAAAAAGAAAAATAAGAAAAACACCCAAAACTGCTGTTACATTAGTGCATAACCTCTCAAAATCGTTGAAAATTGTTTCATGTGTAGCTTGGGGAAACCAATACCTAGTACATTAGCTGGAGGACTTAGGCACTTGATTTACTTCTGATAACTTTACTTGGACAAGTAGCCTGTGTACGTGTATCTACAGTACTAAAGCATAAACTGGGGGAATGGAAACCAAAAGCTGCAGCAAAGCACTGCCCCACAGACCTGCAAATAACACAGCAGTGCAAAGCTAATGGTGTGTTAACCCTGTAAAAGCCTCAAGTCCAAATCTCCACCTCTCAGTCTTCCAACAGGAAACAAGACTCCATGCAAAGTTCCACAACTA